ACCAGCACACGTCGATGACAGTGCCCTATCTGACACCCTGAGATTCAATGCTAGACCTATCAAACCTAGCGGGATCCTTAAATCTTCTTCAGGTCCCACGCTAGATGCATCTGAGACCTCATTCTCACGTCCCGTTCAACAGCACGCGTCATCTGCACCGTCTACGGACGAGACGACAGTCTCACGTCCAGATCAGCAGACCACGCCGCCTCTGACCTCGGATGAGATTGCAGGCTCACGAAATACGAACGAGACTGCCGTCTCACGTTCCGGTCGCCGAGTACGGTTACTCGTACGTTTCCGCGACTAGTCGCACAGTCAACAACCGATACGGTGTAGGATTATTCCTATACTACACGTATGCTACACTCTTCTTTTTTGATTTTCTTTTTGTTTCCTGAGCCCACGCCTTCGACCATCTACGTTTGGTTCCGTCGACTTCAGTCAACTTTGGCGAAAGCTGGATTGGCCACCCACGCTCTTGTCAACGTACTCAGTCGATATATTGGTTTCGAATGCTTGGCATACGCTTGTTCTCGAACTTGGTCGTTATGGTCGCTTCTGGTCTTTTGGCTCAACGTGGTTTCGTCCTTCGTCTGCAGCGTTTATGGTCCGGACCCGTACGAACGCCCTCTTCAGATTCTGGATACAAACCACTCTGGTGTAGCATGCCAACTCAAGCAATACATACAGCACATCGCTCCTGGTACTGTTCTCCGAAAACGACCTTCGTTGGCAACTCGACGATCAACGATCGCTTTCCTGTTCGCCAATTCTTCCGTCCTACAATCGCTCGTCAGCCAATCAGTCCCACGATTCAAACCGCTATTTATCGAAAGTGTAAACCCTTTCTAGCGGGGGGGCTCCTGTAGTGACTCACGTTTATCACGAGAACACGACTGGTTTAATAAAAACAATTATTATTATAACCAACTGTACCAGTGTTTGTTTTAACGTGCTTTTGTTTGACTGTGCTAATGACAGCTATTTTGTGCTTCCATTCTTTCGCTTACACTTCGATTGTAACTTTGCGCGAATTCGGTTACCTTCTGTAACCAAGGTTGTACCCTGGCACGATCTCGGTATCCTTTCGATGCCACGAGATCGCCAGCTAATAAACCTCGACTTGGTCCATTAACTGTCTTCTGATATTTGGCTTCTCGGGGATTTTATGGAGTCATTTGGAACGAGCTTCTTACGCCTTCTGATTCGCTTGGCACGTGTTTCTTGGTAGCGGTGTTCATAGTTAATCTCAACTCGACGCCACGCTACAGTCTCAATTAAATGCAAAGATAACCAAATATTAATATGTATGACTCATATATTCATAGTGAAGACGAAACGATTCTGAGAAGTTAATTTGAGTGCATCACAAGTTATTGTCTGAATTACAAACTTCAAAATCTTAAGAATAATATTTATTTGGTAGGGAAAAAGAGAGAAAAAATGAACACCTGGTGAAACGGTTCAGCCACGATAATAATAGCGCAATGAATATCGGCCTCTGAAGTAAACAAACAAGTTTTAAGAACTTTGAGTGCACTCGGACAACTACATGTAGATTTATGTAATAGTATGTACAGTTATGGGCTACCATGGTATTAGTACTGCTCTAATGATAGACCTAATCCTAAAATTATACATTTGTCATAATGCAACCGCCCAATCTACAAGATCTTACATGGAAGTCACATCATTGTCTACACTGACTCACCGTATCGTAACAGTCACCAATACATGATGGAGAATAATCTTAGACTAAAGACAGAACAATATATTTAATATGAATAAAAGATACAAGATAACATTCAATGGGGACCACGCCTGCAAGGCCGAGCCATGCCATCCGGTGAATTCGAACCCCTCCAATTCATTGTTACCGCTTTCTCCATCGTCGGGTTTTTCTCCGCGTCAAATGTTGAATATGTATTCTCTCAGTTGGCTTGTGTTCAGCTTTTTTATTTCCTTTCTACTCATCTTAATATATGAAGTCTACATATGTGAGTATTTATAATCATTACTTTTATTGATATCATTTTTGGTCCCTCGAAACATAAGATATTCTTTTCATCCATTCTTGTCCTTTTAAACATATTTTATTCCTAAACATCCAAAGTCTATAGCTAAAAACAAAAAATACAGATTATCTTTTCATATTCACTTTGTCTTCACCACATTTATATGACACATGCAAATTTAAATTTGATAATTGTGAATTTTATAGCACCACTCTGAATTATTATTACACAAACGCTTGTAGTAGTTTCCGTTTAACCCTGTATACTTGCAGCGGCACTGAGCCACAGCCACGCGGAGAAAAACCCGACGATGGAGAAAGCGGTAACAATGAATTGGAGGGGTTCGAATTCACCGGATGGCATGGCTCGGCCTTGCAGGCGTGGTCCCCATTGAATGTTATCTTGTATCTTTTATTCATATTAAATATATTGTTCTGTCTTTAGTCTAAGATTATTCTCCATCATGTATTGGTGACTGTTACGATACGGTGAGTCAGTGTAGACAATGATGTGACTTCCATGTAAGATCTTGTAGATTGGGCGGTTGCATTATGACAAATGTATAATTTTAGGATTAGGTCTATCATTAGAGCAGTACTAATACCATAGTCGACCATAATTCTACACGCCTTCATTTTTATTCAGGTCATTATGCCTGCGATTACTGTGAAGTAGTATACCATGTTCAGGAGTGGGTTAGACATATTTTCTCTATAACAGTAATCTCGATTCGATATTATTGAGGTTTATCATTATGAATCCGATGTGCTTTCTAGATTTGGATACTTGAAATGCAATGTGCTCGGGAAAGTTCAAACGTCGAAATCGCACCTCGTGGTCAGCACCTTACGTGGACAACCACATTGACGTATCGAGGTACTATAAATTCTTTAAAGGTTGTACAACACAAAAGACGCCATTACAGAAATATATGAGCTAAAGTAGATACAAGGAAAAGTAAGACCACCACCGTATGGGACAGTCCACGGCGTATGATTAACTGATTCGCGTTGGTCTTCCTTGACTTTGACAGGGATCAGTGATCGGTTCGATATTCAGTGACCCAACTGCTGGACTACTTGGCTAGGGCTTGGCGAAATCTCATTAGCCCTACAGGACGATTTGGCCACGTTCTTCCAAAAAAGATTTGAGCCAAGACAAAAGTGGATTCTGTATGCCAAATGAAGAGAGATTTAGAGGAAGTTTGTGTAAGACACTGTCGAAAGCCTTACTAAAATCGAAGTACAGAATTATCATTGACTGACCAACATCTCTCCGGGTAGTTTAATGAAAAAATTCCAGGTGCGATGTGAATCATGAACGTTTAGTCATAAACCTGTGCTACCGATCTTATTGCTGGGGAAATTGTTGAATGACAGTGATCATGAAATATGGTCAGTGATAGATGTACAGTTTAGAAATAAACACCAAACATACTTATCGCTATCTTATATTGTATGACAGCAACAGCATCAAAGGCACGTTTTTTCCTATTTTTAACCAGACTGATCTGAATTCGTATACACCTTGGAAACAGGCAACTCCACTTACTAAAGTGATCTGTTTCTTTACATGCTTCAAGCACTTTACTTAAGTATATCATAATTCTTTCAACTAAACTGAATTATACGACAACCAAGAACACTAAACTAAGCAAGTGTCATAGTTATTGTTTCATTTGCACAGACATGTTGCTCAAAGTAGCTAAACGGACATAATTAAGCCGATAAAACCAAAACACGAAATATAGGCCGGTTGAACATACCTAAGAAAAAAAGGTTACATATATACTGCTTTCATACTGAAATCAACAAGCAGTTGTTCATAGAAACATAGTTTACAGTACAAAAAACCTTTTTTCAGTAAAATCATACACTGACAGTCTATCTGGAAACAATCAACTATGTGAATAAACTCACTATGATTTGAGATATCATATCAGCGTGCAATGGACGTACAGTGTAACGCAGTCGGACGTGGCGAATAAAAATTAAAAACAGAGCAAAATTAACTACATAATCTAGTTATTTAATTAAAAATACATTATGAAATGACAAAATCTGTGGTTACTTGAACGCACAAATGATAGTGTGCGATACATTAAGTTTACATGGTTGCGTTGCGGATAAGATCACCCGCTAATCAGACTAGCCGAAAGTAAAAATGATAGTAGCCATTTGTGGATGATTTTTTCCATGGTTCTTGATAGCACGGGTGTCAAATTAATGGGCCTATAGTTAACCATATCACTACGTGATCCCAATTCGAACCTAGGGGTGATAAGAGATGTTTTCCATACAGATGGATAGGTCCCATATGCAATAGATAGGTTGAAAAGTTTAAACAAAATAATGGTAATCCTCTGTTACCATATTTCACAAATGGTGAAGGAATCCTATCAGGTCCACCGTCATAAGACTTATTCTGGGCAGCTGTGCTATTTAGTGACAACATATTGTAGTGTGGCGTCGAGTCACGTTTGACTATGAACACCACTACAAGGAGGTTGCGTACCAGAAATCAGAAGGCGGTTGCAGGTTGTAACGAGATATATTCGTTGGAGATCTCGTGAAACCGAAGGAATACAGAGATCGTACCAAAGAAATACAAGTGGAATCAGCGTACAAGGTCACAATCCAAGGAAGGATAATGGAAGAATGATGGATGGTTTGAGTACAGTTAAACAAACAAGTACAGTAAAACAATCACTGGTACAATTGGTTATAATAATGATTGTTTCCATTAAACCAATCGCGTTCTCTTGGTAAAAGTAGGTCACTACAATATATTGACACCGTGCCTACCAAGAGACGGCAGTGCCTGTAGAAGATACACCATAAACATTACACTCTCGAAGCATTAGTATGTAATAGATATTTTGTGAAACAAATCTGATTGTTTAACATGGGTAAATCTGACGAAGGTCACTGGGATTAATTTCCACAGCTGTCTCTTGAAGGTCATCACTGCCAGAAATGGAACATGAAGCTGACGGTCTGCTTTGGAGACACAAAGGTCGTGGTTCCTTGTGGTTCAGGGAACTTAACGGTTAGAGACTTGACTCTCAGTGGTTTAAGGAGGGTTAGGCATACTTTACCGAAGGTTTGTTTTCTGGTTTCCTACATGAACGTTTTATCATTACAATGATTCATTAATACTTAAATGTTTCGAGATACACAATCTATCTATTATGGTGACTTATCACCATTTATCAATGATTTTGTAGCTCGGACCACAGGATCGCATTGTCGTCCACAGCATCAATGTTGCCAGAGATGGTGGTATGCTTGATTGGGATGATTTGGTCTGCGATGTGGTAGACGATCGTGAAATGGTACGTTTCCCACTTTCATCCTCGTCATAAAATTTTTTGCGGCTTTTATTATTTAGTTGCCATCATAAGTTCCTCTGAGTTCTGTGAAAATGCGTAAAAATCTTTTAAAACACGTTTTATCCGTTTGTTATATATTTATATATAATTTATTATCTAGTTGTTTCGGGTGGAATAGTTCTTGTTATACTTTTTCGCCGCCTAAAAATTCATATCCCGTTGATTAGTATTGCAGAAACCGTTTGAATAAACGAAAGTTATTGTCATTCTTTGTTAAGTTTCAGTTTGGTAGTTCCTACCAACTATTCGTATAAAGTATGGGAACTTGTTTGACGTATTGCTTAAGGGAATACAATATATGCTTGAAATCTAAACTCAGTGGTAAATTTTTTACAATTTTATTCGGTACTCACTCGATAAAAGAGCTGTAAGCAATCTTAAATGACATAATATGGTTTGTTTTCTCTTCTACCTATTCCGTCATCCTTTCCAGCTTTTATGCTTTCATAGCCTCATATAATCAATCTTGTATTCATATTGTATCGATTTTAAATTCAAATAACATTGCACGACATGTAGTAATTTTCAAAGTTGTTGGCTTTTCATCTTTTGGTAGGTTACTGCTCACTTTTCGGTCGCCACCTTATCAAACAATATCAAGGATTCTTGTCCAAATCGACCCTCAACTGCCCTTGATTCTATATTTCAATCACTTTCCACACCCTTAGTTGTCGATTTATGTTCTGATAGTGCTATCGAGCCTTCATTTCATAGTCCCATCCAGTCTAGCGGGGCTAGTGAATTTAGAGATAGTGGATTGAATCTCGCACCTCCTTGTGGAATTGGATTAAGACAAACTGACATCAATGGTCATATCGCAGACAGGCTTCTGCGTATCGGAGATGGAAGTACAAGCAGTAGTAACTTAAGTTTAAATCTAAGTAATGATAGCTGTGGATTGCATCAACCAAATGGAGCACATACATCTCAGTTCCCTGGTGATATCCACGAATGGCTTCTGAATGAGTCTTCCCATGATTCTAATGCAGCGCTGCGTGAGTTTTTGATAGATGTTTTGGTCGTTTATATCCTTTTGTTTTCACATAAAAATAATAGTGGACCTTACGTGTGGAATTTATAACTGTCTGATATGTTAACTAAAGACTGTTACTTATGTACCAAGTACATGTCTATATTCAACATCGAACTACACTCCCTGGGGAACAGGTATACTACGGAGCTGCACAAACCGAGTCAAGTATTGTAGAATCAAGACCTGTGATCTAACACTTGAAATCCAAGCATTTTAACCACAGTTACTGCTAAGGTCTAAAAGTAAAATGTAAGCTCCATGTCTCTGATCATCGTTGATAGTATATTGTACGGATAATTACACTTTTAGGTCATTCATAAAACAACCGGTTTACGTTTTACATTTAAGAGACTAAAACCCAGTCCATGGATTAAATGCAACTATGTGACAAAGACCTGGTTTACATACTTGGCTTCAAGCTTGTATCGGTATAATACATAGCAATATAAACTGAAGTGGGTCGATGGGCATTCAAACTTGTAGCCCAACGTATGAAAGTCAAGTATTTTAAGCACTAAACCACCACCCTACTCAAGATAGTAGGTAGACCGATTGATTGGTTGTTAAAATACCGCTTTACCCCAAATTTTGAAACACTGTTGGATATACTCTAACTAGGTGCCCTTATTTATAAAGTTATAATGGAAGACAAACTACGAATGCATCTACTTTCATCGCTCCCTGTTTTGAGCCATGTCATAAGTCATAGCTAATTAATTATAAACCGGTAACTCAAATTTGTACCTCAGCCGTCGTTTGTACATATGGAGATTAATTATCTTTTGTTGTAAATGGAGTAAGAGTGACTTTGGGAAAAGCTAAAAGCAGCCGAACGATGACATGGATTTAGTCCATAAAGTCGCTGACTTTTTGGCTGAACCGTGTTGTACACTCTTTGTCTCCGCTTAGGTCCTAAGTCTCACGATCAACTTGTACTTTTTATCCCAAGATCTCGCCCTTTTCTCTCAGTTACTATTGTCCACACCTAGTCTCTTCTACTGATATTTATGTTGATACCATCTCTGCTACTCTGGGATTTGTTTTGATAATTTCTTATCTCTGCGCTAGTGTGGTATGGCAACTTGAACTGGTGAATATATGTTCTTATTCATACGCTGCATATGACTGACTGATACAGACTGCCTCGTCTGTGTCCTCACGACGACCGTGTTCACATTTGTGCAATATCCTACATTGTCTCAGCTGTCCGACTCTATTGAGTCACGCTATTCCTCATTTGTGAGTTACCAGGCCTTCGTTTGTAATTATTTTTTTCCTTGCAACAGATCCCAACATTAAAGTGAATTGTGTTTCAGAAGTATCCTCTTCTGGCAATAAAGAGAAATGTTTTACAACCTCTTCAGCTTCTCAGTCACCACCTACTTGCTTCAATACAATATCAAGTACTTGTGAACGACTGAAAAGTTCTCCGGTTTCGTGTAATAAATCCTGTCCGAATAGTATCACCATAAATGATACAGCAATTTCAAAGCATTGTCAAAGAACACTTTCACCGAATGTCTTTGAAATGGTTAGTTCTTTATATATATATATATATATATATATATATATATATATATATATATATATACATTTATATAATGAGTCGTTCAGATTTATTTTTATGGATACTTTAACTGGTTTAGTGGAATTTTACACTGTTGAATTCATTGAAGAATCCACACTTCAAAATATCTCAACAAGAGATGTAAAGAACTATCAAAACTTATAGGAAAGATCTTTAGAAAGGTAGGATATACGTATATGACGAAACGAATCGTAGGCAAATTTTAAACAGTTAAACATTCATGAAGCCATGTTATGTACCGTATTTCACCTCAAACTTCAATTGTTCTCGGAAAAAAAATATTAGTGTCCTGTTTGTTGTTCGTTTACTGAACGTTCTAGTATCTTGAACAGTTTAAGTTGTTGATTCTCAATTAAATCTAGCATTTTACCATTTAATAGTTATAAATATGAAATAGATCTATCTGTGATCTATATTGTTCACAAACTCATTTTCTATTCATAAGTCGTATCGATGCTACTGATACTTTTACTAATCGTGCTATGAAATTTGTTTTGGAAATTCACTTCATTGTACTAATTCAGTCGATCAGTCAGTCAAAACATCGAACCTCCTACGTTTGTACGTGGATTCAAGTTGACTCATCCTATTAGCACCGATAGATGAAATTGCTAGACCAAATCCCAGAGTAGCAGAGGTAATAACAATATTAATAGTAATAACAAAGATCAAACATCGAAAATAAAAAAAGACTTACAACCAATTAACAAACTTAGCATTAAGGGAAGACAAAGAGTGAGTATATCTATGCCATTGTAAATGATTCTCTGTCATGTCACTCAAGGCATCCAACCATTGGTTATGTTAATGACATGAACCCAAATTAGGTGGCATGTACCTACCTACATAGTTCAGTTCAACAGTCAGTATCTTCATGGACTGGTGCCATGTCTTAGTTTGAACACTCATAGCTTTCCTCCAACCTCCAACCTACCTCCATCATCGCCTATCGAGGTAATCTACAGATAAGCACACGTAGTATATGTCCCAACCATCTCAGTCGATAAAGATTCGCTACCTCGTCAGTTCATTTGCCACACGTACCTAATACTCAGTATCTAACCTCGCAATTGTTAACTCATTGGTCTCACAATATACGAGCAATGCCTTGAAGATACCCGTGATTGCATGCAAGCAACCTGCGAATATCCTCTATTTTTAATAGCCATGTTTCACACCTTTAAAGTAGAACAGAGAAATGTTGCTCGGTAAACTCGTCATTTTGTTGACAAACAGATATCCCGCCTACGCCACAAGTGACGCAAGATGGCAAAAGCCAATCGATCCTTCTAAACCCGTACCGAAATCTCATCAGACACCAGACCATCAGGACTGATGAGACTGCCGAGGTAAGTGAAGTGGTCGATGCGTCCAACTACTTTACCGCCTATCGTTAATTTAGGTGGTAACACAAGCTGATCCCTAAGCATCATTTTGGATTCGGAGGGAGAGAACCGTATCCTGAACATGCTTGCACTGTTGCTTAAGGTGGTCAGAAGACTGCATTTTATCATTGTCTTCACCAAAAAGAACTATATCATTTGCGTATCCTCAGTTAACAAGTAGATCTGTTTGATCAAACCCGGGATAACCAGATGATGAAATGACTCTCTAAAAGCACCGTGCTGACGTGGTGTGGGGATTTGGACGGATGCACATGTATTCCAGGTTCTACTTATAATCACAAGTTTCCAATATCTCATAAATTCTGGTCAGAAAACCCGTAATTTGTCATAAAACTTAAACTGGTGTCTACTAACTTCATATATTTTTTTGTCACGGCTTAGCTGAATTTTCCCATGTCGTGTTTTTAATAAATATCACACAGAGTTTATTAGTGAATTAGTAAGTTTAGCCACACATCATAGTTATCTCAGACAATATCCCTTATTTTTTATTAACTTCAACCCAACGCTTAAATTAGTTATCAAATCATATGCTTTTTGAAATATCTGTTTCATATATTTAAATCTCTTTAATTTTAAGCTCTCAAATGTCTTATCTCGCCGTCGTGATCTTATTGAGTCTGGTTGGGATTCTGATGATGAAGATGAAGATGCATTTGATCCTGATGGAGGCTATTCATACGATTGCCAAGTAGGTGAACAGCAGAATGAATTTGTGTCATTACCCAATGGTGATACTATCCTTCACTCAGATACCATAAACAATAATTCAGATATATTACCTAATTCTTTACCTGGAGGAAACCACTGTTGTTTAGATGTCACAGAAAGTAATAGTCACCATGAAAATACTAACGATAACTTTTCGACTGTAAGATATCCCTCGGTGACTCTTACATCAAGCGGAACTTGTGATAGACCAAGTAATCACCCTGTTTTATCAAATGCAGATATTTGGCCTCTCCCACCTCCACCTTTTTCTGCTTCCGATGTTCCACATGTTAATATTCCTACTAATCTCCCATGTAGAATACATTCTCCAGAAGACGAATATCATATAGGTATAAATACTGAACGACTGATACGTGCAGTTCAAAGTCATAATTCATTTTCAAGTTCGAATGGTTCCGACCGATTTTGCACAACTTCAGACATAGTGTCTAATTCATTAGTCAGTCAGTCAGAACTCCGAAATCCCCTCAGTTATTCTCAGGTGAGTTTTCTATCTTCTTTCTAATGATCCTAACTTTTTTAAATAGGAGAGTGTATTTTATGAATTTCACCTCTTTTATTCAAATAAGTAGCGAGATCTAAACATTTCACAAACACTATCAGAATTATACTATAAGACAACACAAACTGAAAACGGTAGTGTGAAATGAATGAACTAAGCAAACCAAATTATAAATCCGAGTAATTGAGGTTAGGTAACTAACTTCTATAAGCCACCCACCTGAGACTTGTCAAACAAAACATTCTATCATTCCAATTACTCGATTTTCCAAGTTCATGTGCGATTGCACTAATCTTATTTGAGTAGCATTTTTATTAATACAAGGCATTTATCAACATACTAGTTTGATCAATTATGATATATTCTATTCTTTTGTACCCTTTATTAACAAAGAGTTTGCGATTTAAATACCCTCATAATTAAGACAATCGATTGTATCAACATAGAACGTTTATTAGGAAAATGTCGACAACATTACATTTTTATTTATTTTTCTGTATATATATGATCGCTAACTAAAAGTTGTTCTCACACTAGTTCAAACTTCAAAGTATTGTCGATTACCTGGATGCACTCAAGGATTGTTCAGTTTTAATTTAGGACTGAGGAACATTTGTATCATCATTAATAACAAGATTGGACATGGGAATTTCCGTTTTGCTTTATTCATATAATCACTTGAATCGAAAACCGCTGTTTCGATCGTCTACCGTTCTAGTTTTCGTTCATTTTCCTGAATTGATATGATTCCTTAAGTTCTTTCGTTTTATTTTGATAGAAACTTAGCCATTCGGGGTTACATTGCTCCTTGATTCATACATAAAAGTGATCGAATGACAGCAATCATAAAAGGTAGATTAAGGTATCGTTATCTTTTTTTTCAGTTGTTTTACGCCAAAAGACAATTCTCAAACATCTATAATCTTTATCGGTTAATGGTTTATGTTTCATTTTATTTTTTAAGCCTAATTTGGCCACACAGTATGACGATTCTATTCGACAACAAAATATGCAACATTTATCGAATACTCATATAGCAGAAAATAATATGGTTAGTAATTCATTACATCAGTCGAGACCGGACCATGTACAGCCTCGTAAGTATTTAAAAATTGCATGGTTATAAGTGTATAAATTTTGATTCAGGATTATATGTATGTACTTAAAAGCCTGGAGTTATACAACCGTAGATATGCAACATTACTCATGCCTTATTTTTAATTGGTAAGACGAAGTGTTCAAATGAGATAGTTCAATTCACAAGTAGATTTATCACCTAAATTCTCACAATTCTCTTGAAAATAGTTTCAAATGTCAAGTTCCCCCTTGACGCAAGTAACTTTTTGTTGTACCTGTGAATAAGAATCTCACTACAAAACAACCATTTTTTTTTAACAAGTTAAATAAAACGTCGTTCAGATGTTTATATTGTATACTAAAGTAAGGTCATGAAATATTCGATGTGAAAATCGTTTACAATGTGACTACGACGAAGTATTAGTTAACCGCTTTCTTCTTACAAAATAAGTAGTACATATCAGTAAGATAACCCAGTCGAAGTTTGTGTAGATTTCATATAGTCGTATAGTTAATGGAAACGTTAAATAAAAGGCATCCACAGATAACCCCAAACATTATGATTCAATAAGCGTTCATCTTTGTTGGGGTCAAGCTGCAAGCGGTATTGACAGCTGATTAGATATGAAATGCCATGTATTTATCTGTTAACCAACAATGACTATGCAGTAGCCGACCGTATTCTGTCTCCTGTCGGCATAAAACCTCAGCTGCTAATCTTCCCTCATGAGCTCCAAAAACTTTCCTTCAAAGTTAGTCTTATGTCCCATTTCTAACCAGTATAGTGCTATTGCTAATCCATTTTCGAGCTTCTTAAGTTCTTCTGAGAATTTCAAAGTTTTTCTTTGCCATGGTATTTAGCTCCCCCCACCCTACTCATATGGTGACTTACTTCATAGACAGTCTTGTTTTCACTCTTTTGATATCCTATACTTCACTTTCAGTAATATCTATACCATCACTACCTTGGATATAAACTTTTTATCATGCATATTTAGAATCTTTCTTATCCTTTCTGAAGTTTCTTTAGGATATGCCATGACTGCAGTGTTTTTTCATTCCCTAGGTGAACACTCTAATTTAGCTTTTCTTTCATTTTTACTATGATGATTTATTGGTCGTATATATCGGGCATACTAGACACCAAATCGAAACAAAACTGGTTTTCAAAGTTATTTATAGAATCCGATTGCGCTCGCCCAGTGATTCCTTAAATCGTATTTTTGCACACAGAAGAAGCTATAGAAATACACAAATAAATTTAATCTTTGTATACAAGAAACGTTTGTGCAACCACACAATTTACTCTGACCTCCTACTTAATTATAAATAAATAATATATTTCTAATATCCCAAATCATACCTTAGTAACGATACCTACTTCTACTTAATTATTCTTACTTTTCTCAAAATCTTTTTTCAATTTTGTCTAATTTTAATTTCTAATCCTATTCTTACTTAATCCGTTCTCATAATCTGGCTGTGTAGTTTTTATGTCATCCGTTTTACTAGCTACTTATTTTTTATGCTTACTAATAACAATAAACATTCATATTCAATTGCTTAATTTCAAGCTTACTCAATTCCTTCCACTTTATTCTTACGTAACTAGTGTTGCAGTAATTCGCATATTTTGTAATTTTGTATTTTAGTTTTAATTTCGTATCGGTCAAGTTACGGACTACTATCTTTGGAGAAAATATTGATATTGTCAAGCGGATCACTATTTATTTAGTATTGATTTTATACTTAATCATAAAACCAAAACTTCATGACAAGTTAGAATTTTTAACAGGCAGCACAGTATAATACAAATTTGTGAATTACGTTTTCCTTGTGTAGTCTAAATGCTGATCCATAACATATACACTGCCTCAGTTTAGCAAACTTTTCAGTTGTACAGAGGAAAAACTCAATAAAAATAGTTTATTATTAAACGGACAAGTATGAAAACGATATCGAACAAAGAAAAATGGGTAATTCTACATTATTTCGACAAGAAAATCGGAATAGACAGTGTGATACAATCTGAACAATTTTCCTTTTCTCTTAATAAACCAAAAAGCTAGATGGTTTTTGTTGTGCCGTCGTTATAACCAGTCTCCTTATAATCCATAATCTCAACTTGTATGATGAATAAATTCACTAATTATGGCTATTCCGTGTCATAATTAATAATAATTAGCTTAGTGTAAAGTAAGTTTGCATGTTACTCCCACTGTATACGTTGTTTTGAGTAGTCTCCTATTTTAACTTATGCTCCTTACTATCTAATTACTTCCTGACAAGCATAATTCACTTATCGATAAGGGTTTTTTAAGTCATCCTAATTCTTGTGAAAATCCTTTTCCTTTTTGTAGAATACTCACACACATGTAATATCAACTCAACAAAATCCCTTGTTATAACAAGTCGTCCTGTTGGCGGTCTCTCCTATTCTCGAACAACAACACGTTTAGGAACAGCATTTCAAACCAATTTAACTGTTCCAACTATAGTTGAAGAAGAAGAAGAATATTCGGTAGATTCTGAAAGACAACTTCCGAATTTGCCGGAATATGAAACAGAACACCAATTTATCGACATGTTAAAGTCTAGAACCAATCCTGTGCTTAATAATAATATTGATATTAATGAAGCAAATGAAGAAGATTATCCACTTCTACGTAAAGATTATGTTCTGGAGTGAGTTCTAATACTGTTTGTAGTTTTTCTCCCATTTCAGGTTATTGAAAATAATAATTGAAATCTTTGGGCTTAGGTTTCGCTCTCTCCAACATTCATCAACAGAGCATACCTGTAATCTCAGCGGATCCATATTTCATCAGAGTTTTAAATATATGCTACCTAATATTAAAGCTATAAATAATACAAAAACTGTTCAGCCTCTAGGTTTCCAACTGCATGATTGCGTTTCAGACACACTTTGTTAACCAATGAGTCGTGAAATCAAGTTCTACTTCTGTTGGGATGTACATGTAACGTTACTAGCCATCACACAAAATATTTGACCCCAAACTGAGTTCTGAACCTGTACCTTGTTACCGACTCGTAAAAAAAGAAACGTTTCTTAGCCAGGTGGTTCACACCAACAATCAATAATTTAATCAACTGATACCAAATCTTGCTTTCATCCCTGCCCATTATGCCAAACATTTCTTGTCAGAGTAAATGGTAGCTGAACATGCGCAACACTTGTTCTACTTACCTCTGAAGAGTTCTACCAACTGACCTTCCATCTTTATCTAGTATCCTACGGCTAATCTCAATCAATTAGTTTGTAGTTAGAGGATATGCAATCAATAATTCAAGAACATTCATGACAATTTAGATTATCACAGTAGTAAAATGGTGTTCACTGTGCTTTATTTGTTGTAATGTTTTTTACCTACTAATTGGACATGTGTATCTGAATTAAATTCCATGACTTACAGTAACCATAATGACAACGACACATATTAATTCACTAACATGTAACATGACCAAGAATCAACCACAGTGGCGTGGTGATATTCATCCTCAACCATCCTCTAGACCCCAACTACAGTATCATTCCTCTATTTTAATTCTTTGGTTTCGTTCTACTTTAAAATGTCCTCCACGTTTAGCTTCCCATCCCAACTAATGTTTTTCTTCCATTGCTTTACTCCTTACTAATTTCACAACACTATTTCCACTATGAAGTATTCCATCGTAGACTGATATGCATTTATTTTAAGTCCTACGCTGTCTGTAACTGACTGCACTAGTTTTCAAGTTAGTTTCTAACCAAATTGTATGTGTATAAAAGTCTGATAGATTGTTTCGTCAATAAACTAGGTATTTTGATTATCAAACTTTCCAAATAGTGACCACTACATTGAAATAATATTCAGTACTCCACATCATGATGACAGTTACTGATTTGTTTCTTGAAATTTCATCATGCTTTCACTTTTCTTTGTGCTAAATTCAAATGTTGCAGCTTGAATCGATAAACAAGTACATTTCTATTGTTATTGTTTCTGCTTTCGTCTACTCATCTCTGTCTCTAATGTTTTAGTACTAGTGTGTGTGTCTGCGTGTGCTTATCATCAGTATTTTCCTACTTCATTTCATTGTGATATAGTTTGACAATCTTAGATAGGAATGACGTTCTCATTCTCCTCTCGATTCACTTATTTTAATCACGTTTCTGTTTTTTGAAACCCTATATCGTCTACTCTCTTGAATTCGGTTAATCACGAGGTATTTATTATTATTATTATTATTATTATTATTATTATTATTATTATTATTATTATTATTGAAATAGACATAACCAAATCTAAATGTTTGTAAATCTAAATTTTAGTTTATTTCTTAGTTTCTTTATTCTTTCCACCCCATAATTTGATAATTTACAGAAAAGATCAAACATCTGTCCAAAAATGCGGTGTACTACATGTGAATACAATTAATAATGATAAATGTAATCCTAGTTCAAATGAATTACACTTGTCTAATCTTCAATTTCATTCAAATGATAATCCATTAATAACAAATAACCATTCTATTCGTGGTCTACCTAAACCGGATGTGATTCGTTGGCTTGAAAATACTCGTGATGCTACTATGAGTAATAATTGTCAAGTTATAAGTAAATCTGGTTTATCACATCTTTCATCATCTGCATCATTAAATCAATCAGATTTCAATACAGATGATCATCAACCAATTAATGAAGTACCTGAAAAAATATCTTTGAATATCATTGAATCACCTTCAGTGAATAAATCTCAGGAATCAATAAATAGTAAAGACTCAGTAGTGACAATTCGTCTGATAAATACTAAACGTGGTGAAAATTTAGGTATACAAATTAAACCTGTCTTTTCGGATGTCTTTAACTCTAACAATGATAACTGTTCAGATAATAATGGCGGATCAAGAATGTAAGTGTCCAGTAATATTCACTTATTTATTTGTTTATTATGAGTTATGATGAAAGTGCACTCGCGTATCAACCATTAGGTTGCAGATATGAAACTGGCTTCAGTTTGAACATTTCTCGTAGTATTACTGGCTCAAAGCGGAGTATTTAGGCCTGTTTTTGTTAACTAAGTTCATAGTTTCTCTAAACATATTTTTAAATGATATCTCAATTCAGCGTTTAAATTATTATCTGATGTTATATTGAGAAATGCCTAAAATTAGATACACTACTAAGTTTGCACTATTCCTATTCAATGAACCTTCCCAACTAAGTTTGTTATCGGTTCACTGACAAATCTTCAAAGTTTTTCAAGGACAACATCGGGGACTCATGATTTTCAAATCTTCCATAGTTAACTAGATATTTTCATTGCTAGTCAACCTACAATTTGGATTTGTGTGTTTTCCAATATCACTAACACGTACATCTACACTTTTTTCACTCTAGTTTTATTTATTTATTTGAACATATAAATATTGGTACAAGGGGGGCAGCAAATACATATGCGCCACACAAAACAATGAGAACGGGAAGAGAAGAAAGAAGGTAAGGTGCGTATAAGGAACAAAAGAAAAAAAGAATAATAACAACAGATTAGTGTAAGGTAGTGTAATGATAATAACAATAATGAGGGAAACGGAAAGGTACAACCAGAAGAACTCTTTCAGTTAAGGAAGATACAACCACTCTTTTTATGAAGAAAGTAAAAGAAGGTTACAGCAGGATCGCTACTGGCTTCTATTCTGAGCCATATCTGACAACGTCTCTAGTCACTGTGCTGCACCATCTCTCGGAACCCCAACCAAGGGAGTCGTGAAGGACCAACAGAAGCCAGCCCTTTGTAGCTTTCTTTCATACCACAACACCATATCATACACTGGCCACCTCTCCGCTTTTTCCAACCAGTCCCAGCGTCGGCAAGTAATGCACTACGTGGAATTCTCTGGGACGACATTCGGAGAACATGTCCAAGCCACCGAAGTTGGTGTTTCAAGATGGTGACGTCGTTTGCATCATCATCTCTGTGCCCGAACACACGATGCCGAATCTCTGCATTACTGACATGGTGTTGCCACTGGATGTCAACAATCCTTCGGAGACAACGATGATCAAACACAGGGAGTCGTCTAACATCCTCAACTCGGAGAGACCAGGTTTCACAAGCATAGAGCAGAGCTGCTCACACCGACGCGTTGTAGATCCGACCTTTTACAGCCAGACTGACGTCACGAAGGCGCCAAAGATGGCCCAGATTGTCATAAGCCGCTCTGGCTTTCACTATACGTGCATTGGTCTCATCACTCACGCCACCACCAGCACTTATGCAGCTACCTAGATACACGAACTTTTCGACTACTTCTATCTGCTCACCATCGAGGGTGAGTACAGGATTAGAATCCTGCCAGTCTTGTAGAAGTACTTTGCACTTCGAAGGTGCAAAGCACATACCGTACCTACGGACATTGATTGCCAGCTGATTAAGTGTGGATTGCATGACTTGAGCATTATCGCACAGTAACACAATATCATTCGTATACTCTAGGTCGAAAAGTCTTCTTCGGGAAACAGATCCACACCACCATTACTTACATCCATCAGAGCTGTTTCCAGAATATCATCAATAGCAAAGTTGAAGAGGAATGGTGAGATTAGGCAACCTTGCCTAACCCCACTGCTTGAATGGAACAATGGAGAAAGGTGGGTGTATGCCTTCACTCTACCCCAAATGTCCTGGTATGGCCGAGAGTGGGGTGAGCCCACCCTCCCTCTCGAAATGCTCTCACACGGCCAGGGAAGTCCTACTCACTGCCTTCTCGTGGCGGGGGTATTGTTTACGAAAATGAGAGGACGAAAAGCGAATGTCCGGCGCTTTAACCGGGTCCCAAACCAATCGTGCACATGGGCTCCAGTACCTTGAGGGCGTATGAACCAATTGTTGGTCACCGGCTACCATGGGACTGCATCTCCTCACGATGCTCTACTACCTTGTGGGTCAGACCTTTAGGTCAAATACGCGGGGTGTGGTCCCCTAAGAAGACCACTTGCTTCGGTCTGGGCACCCGGGCAGTATCACAGCCCACACACAAATAAAATGAAAATGATGATATTTCAATCTAGTTAATTTCACCTAAATAGTACGGTTATTGCTTATTAGTCAACTTAACTATTTGTAATTAGTAGCCTCCCAATAATTATCTAATTCATTCACATTTTGACCTAACCTTGATTATAATTTAAGGTTATTTATTTGAATTCTGACTAACAACTGACTAGGCCTAATTTATCGCAATGGAGGTTAGTGAAGATTGTAGTAATTTTAATAGTTGCATTAATGAGTCAATTTAAGCTAGACCAACATTGAAAACGCGGGAGCACTGGGTGGCCATTTCGTCCTATCATGGAACTCCACAGCCATTAAAATTACTACAATCTTCACAAATTCCTATTCTGATAATAATCATCACGTGCTGACTAACGACTGGAGCTCTAGTGAGAAGCCGTGACCGGTGTAGTTCAACTGTGTTTGTTGTGAGGCAGTTACTCACTGAAGGCAATGGTGGACGGCCGCGCAATATCGTGGATTGGTTGAAATTAGATATTAACACCGTTGGATGCTGGCTCAGTAGTCTAGAGGTTAAGCGTTTGCCCGCGCGACTGAAGGCCATGGATTCGAGTCCCGCGTGCAGGATCGTGGGTATGCACTACTGATGAGTCCCATACTAGGATGAAACGGCCATCCAGTGCTTCCAGATTTTCAATGGTGGTCGGGTTTAAATCGAATCATTAATTCAATTATTAATTTTTCTAACAAAACCATCTAATTTCCTCTCGTTCAACATACAGCAAGGTATAAACACGTGAGAATGTGTTCACGTATAGCTGAAATATACATTAATTAACATATGTGATTTAATGATAACTTTCTAAGGGCAAAATTAACTCTTTGAAACTGAAAATAAATAACTTTATCAAACCTGGTATAAGATAAAATGGTTTGTAGTATACCTAATGAAATTAACTATGACAATGATATAAGTTTACTGCCTTTTCGTAACTATCTAAAGATTAATAATGGTAATAATACGAATGAGAATTCCAAAAGTTTAGTTTTTAACCCACTATGGAACTTTTATACATTATGCGTGGAATTTTTCATTCTGAATTACTTTTATTATGTATTAAACCATTTTCCTACCTTGTTTTTATTGTATAGATAATCATTATCTTTAATTAATCTTTAAATTGACACACTGAACTGGTTTTTCTCAAATGACTATAATATGTAATATTTTATCCCGATACTATCCTGTTTTTGAATTGCCCATTCATTATTATTCTTAAAATAGTTTAGTGATTCCATTTGTGTCTGATCAATATGATTATTCTTTCTGAGAAAATAAAAATGGAAGAAAAGGTAACGATTTGATTTCGAGAGAAAGAAAAATATTACAAAAAATGCATATTATTTAATTTCCTGTACTTTTCATTTGTATCAATAAAACATTAGTACTTATAGTAGTATAAACTATGTTCTAAGAAATGCATTCAACTAGAAATCGTTTTCAATTTGTATTGTTCTTGCCTGGTTTATAAAGTGAAGACTTTCATTTCATATAATTGCTTAATTAAATTACGAATTAAAATGATTTACAAGTTGTTTGTTTTATTTCAACTTTGCAACTGGAATACTAGAATACAAACTACCTAGTTGAGGTCCACCGTGATTATCATGGGCAACATGGCTTGGAATTGTCCACAATAGTATACATAAATTCACTATCTTCCTTTAGATTCTATGTCTCGAAATCTCATACTTTTTTTCTTCTTTCCACACGTTGTCCTGTTTACTACTACTGATAATATTGTTAATCCTAATATTCTTGGGTTTGTTTTGATAATATCTTCCCGTGAAGCTAATGTTGTGCGGCAACTTGAATCGATGCATATATGTGCCAGGTTCTACGTTACGCATGATTGACTGACTGCAGCTGGAATAAATCAGACATAAGAATTAAGGTAATTGTAATAATAATTATCTAAAATAAATATAGAGGAGTATATGACGTAATATTTTTTCAGTACACCAACCATATTTTTATGCAGAAATTAAGCTGTCATTTACACCATAATACGTAATGTATTTCGACCGGAGGCTTAACTCAGTACAAAAGCACTCGGTCACTACACTACTGAACTCGTATCATCAGTCAAACAGCTGTTAATATTAATCGTCACCGGATTACCGTAACTCAGTAGCTAAGTACTAGTTCAACCCAATTTTTGAATTACATGTTTTATGAAAGCTAACTATATTACACGACTAACCTAACAGTAGTTGGTGTAACGTTCGAACCCGGGTCTCACAAATCGAGATTTAAATAATCTAACCACTAACCACGGTTCTTAAGTAATAAATCGATAGGGAGTAGGTACCCATACATATAACATAAAGCTTCCATTAAACTCAACATAAAACTAGGATAGATTTCTCAACTAAAAAGTTGCAAGAAAACCATCTAAACAACTGATAGGCTAGGTATTGTGCATTAAATAACCTGGCGATTATTAAATCAAAACTAATGGTTGCATGATAAATAAGTAATATATCCGTAACATGTTCGGTGGTTTTACTTTTGTAATATATTCCAACTGATTATGAACTCAGTTTTATCAGAAATAGAATTCTTGACATAATATCTTTTCTGTTGATGTATATAAGTGAAAAAGAGAATATCGCTATTCTTTTTATAACCCTTTATAAATGTATTGAAAATATCGCAGTTTTTACCAATGCTTTAGATAGTCTAATTTAAAGCAAAATAAATGGGTAATCACTTTTATTTCTTATTTTCTATTAAGTGAATGTGGTCTTGAAGTTCATTGTATTTTACCGAATGGGCGTGTAGCACGTGAGCAATGTTTATCTGTTGGAGATCGGATTTTAAGTATTAATGGAATTTCATTAAGCGGTATACCATTTGAAAAGTTAGTTATATTTTATAAACCATTATTTATGTTTATTTTCTACTGAAGTAAAACAGTAGTGCATTTGTTTTAATTAAACATGAAACTTGCACCCTAGTGAGTTTTTTACATTTAGATCAGTAGACCTTAATCTGTATATTTTCATCTTTTAGCAAATTTGTGCCAACCTGGGACAAATAGTGCCGTTAACCTTTTGGCATAATGTAAGCAATCTTGTTTTCCTTTTGCTATTTGGTTGTTTGAAGGGAATCATGGACCTACGTCTCTTGATCGGTGGCATTGGTAAGTAAGGCTTACCTGCAATCTTGAGGAGACTAGTACTACTTCGTGGAATCGAAACGGAGGCATTCAACTTCACAGTTTGCGAAACCACTACTGAACTATTCGGGCTGCTACTAACCTTGTTTCTTATGCTAGAGAGTCTATACTACTACCTAGTCTAATACTACGAGAGATAACGTTTTTGTGAATGCACGTTAATAGTGTAGTTTTGGCTCTAATATTCAATAAAATGCTGATAGTACCACCAGGGCTGTACACCTTTTGTTTATGGCTTTGATATAAACCAAAAATACTTCATGAATCAGAAACTTATTAGACATGCTACACTGTACATCCGCGGGAAAGCTTTCCAGTATCCTAACAAAACCCACTCGTTTTGTAATTCACAACAAACTTTTAAATATAGATTGTTATTCATTAATCACACGTAGCAAAATGATGATGGCTAACCTTTTTCTATTGTTAATGAACATCGCTACTATGTATTGAACTATCTGTTTTTGAGGTTGGAGCAATGGCTTGGTGGTTAAGGCTTTTGAATTTCAGCCACTAAGTCTCAGGTTCCAATCCCTCTCCAACCACTTCGGTTAGGTCAACTTTGTAGTATCATTAGCCCTCATACGTAGTGTTGAACATACCCAAGTACCTGGCGAACGAGTTAATTTAGATTTGAAATGAAGATTAATCTTTTTTTAAACATGAATAAATAGAGGCTAATTTAGTGAATATCTAGATGGCCTATTTGTTATTTTTAAGGACAAATTGTAAAATCGGTACTAGGAACCACTAAATAACGTTATTTTAATTATATTCCATCTATTCTCTCCATGAATAGCTGATACAATATTAAAAGCTAACTACTAATTGGAATATCTAACCCCTCTATCTTATTCATCGTTGAGGGTCCATTTTTAACTAGCTTTGCGGTAGCTTCGCTCAAAGTTTTGGCGATAAGTAAAACTGGTGGTTTTAACGCCACGGGAATAAAACAGTAGTTACTTACGAACTTAGATGATTTTTGCATTGTAAGATGAATGTACTGAGTGTGTAGGTTTAAACTATTTGAACTTCGACTAAGTACTCTAAAAGTATCGTGCTCACCATGTAGTACACATAAATCCTGGTTGGGTTCGTAGAAGTTCATACTGTTAAGAAGTCTGCCTACTGGAGTGTTTAACCTTCACTATTCTTCACAAATAAAGCATAGCTCAAACCCGAATACACGAATCTTTTCTTAATAAATGAGTTACATTCCAGTATTGTTCATTTTCAATGCTTCTCAATCTTATGCCAGTTTATGGTGGAAATTACCAATAAAATTCCATTCTGTCAGTCCACCTAATAAATCTAAGCAACATCATATAGATCATGTCCACGAATTGGTTCTATTTTAATAGTCATTTTAGTTTTTTCTTGCAAAATATTTTTATAATACCTTTTCTTTTCTGTCAAGGGGTCGTGATATATTTCAAGAGGCATTAAATGAACCAGAAATAATACTTCGTGTACTTCCTCATTCAGCCTACCAATACAGTTCTTCACTATCTATACAAAACATTGATAAAATAAACAGGACAACTACAGAGAAATCAGAGAAACCTTCATGTGGTCTAATTGTTATCGTATCCGATCCATTGTCTAAAGCTAAAGAAGTTGAAATAAAATCTAATTCAAATCAGTTAAAACCTATACCACCACCACCACCTCGTCGTTCTCCCAACACTGTATTAACTCGTATTCCAGAAGGAATTATTAAACCATTAATTGACGAATTTTTAAAAGAGAAAAAACAACAAGAAAATAATAATAATCAATTACCATCATCACAAGAATTAACAAAATCTGTTGTCAACTCACAAACAAATATTGTTAATAATAGTGATGATTTGCACACATTTACTTATCATACAATTCATTTATGCAAAGGTAAAATCAATTTTCTTGTATAATAATATAATTATTTCAATATTGTATGTATAGTCAGTTAGTCATATAGTTGACATAGAGTTATCCAATAATAATGCATGCGATTCCAGGTTGATATATACACCATATTAGTACAATGGGATGGAACTAATAAGATGAATAGCAAATAAAGTTAAGATAATAATAATAATAATAATAATAATAATAATAATAGTACTATCAACGATAGTTAAAAAAAGTCTAAATATTTAAGTATATGGTTAAATAGAAAGGTATATACGAAGGACAATTGGAACTCTAATTCTTGGGTGGAGATAAACGATAAATGCAACTCTGTTATACAGTGCTTAACTATTGTGTACACTTATGTGTGTAAATACTCTTTTTTCCTGAATTTCGTTCAAAATATTGATGAGAAATATTCATACAGCATTAATAAGTACATTTACTAATACTTTATTCAGTTCAGTTAACAGAATTTTATCAAATTCACAGAAAAGATACAAAAAGCGACAAATCTGTGGGTGAACACAATTGTTATTTAATTCCCATAGTACTATTAGTATTAGTAATATCATCATTACAAAGGTGCCTTTTGTAAGTCTTCGAAAATTAATCGACATGAAACCGACCATTTTCAGCTCATATGACTTCATTAACATACTCTAAATTGTAAATCAGGATCTTGTACACCGATGACCACTTTCCATAATATTTCTTTTAAAACTTCATCTTTAATAGGTTACGAAAAAAAATTATGAAATACGCAGTCGGACAATCTATTTTTGATCATATCTGAATGACATTGTTAACATTGTGTTAGTCAAATAAAAATCTCTCCTTTTTTCATTATGACATTAATTTACTATTATTTTTTGTGAACTTGATCTGTCAGCGATGATGTCTATTCTCAGAGTTTAAAGGCAGATAATATTTACTGTTAAACTACTTAGTTGTGGGTCAGTCTTTAAAAACATCTATGCTTAATTCATCGGAACTTACTACTCTGTCTTGCTTCGAATCTTCTAAAATTTAGTGAACTAATGGTATTTCTGCTGTCAGACTAATATGCTGCAGTGATCCAGGTAGAAGGTCTCATGTGACTAGCTGAACTTAAAAAGACCCAGAAAGACTCATCGTTTCAATTGTCTGAATTGATACTGGACTCCACTTATCCTTCTTTCTTTGAAATATTCTAAATAACTGCCATCTCTTTATTTCAATCCAATTTTCTTGAGATATTTGAATAGCTTTACTATTACTTATCTTTCATGCACCTTTTTTGCTTTCATTGTTATCAAAAGAGCTTACTTACACTTTTGATCTATAAAAAACTGCTTAAAGTTTACATATTCAGTGATATCAATTATTCTCATTGCTATTGTTAAAGTTCGACATACAGTACTAGATGACGATAGCGAGTCGATTGAATCCTCATCTAACGAAGTAATTTTGACATATGTTACGCAGATAGACCCTGACTTTATGGTTGGAATCCGCGTGATTATCGTAACCTATGGTTAGAGATGTTTAATAATGGCTCATAAACATTCACAGCAACGTAGATACATTCACTTTCTGTCTTCTCTTGAATCTTGAGTCTCGAAATTTCCTTATAGTTTTTCTCATCTCTATATATAATCTTTTGTACTACTGATTCAGCTACTATTAATTCTACTATTGTGGTATGTTTTTTAATAATCTTACCTTTCTGTGCTAATGTAGTGTGGGAACTTGAACCGATGCACGTGTGTCAGGTTTTACTTTGCGTATGACTGATTGACCTTCACTAATCATTTCGTTAGTTTGATTTCGTTGTGCTAATATGATGTGACAGCTTGGTCCAAAACATGTTCGTTCCAAGCCCTCCGGTGGTTTTAACTAAATAGCCATCAGCATTATTATCTAACGTTAATGTCTTTCGGAAATATCAGTTTTCTGTACCTAGTTTTAACTGTTTCTTGTTTCTTTTTATTGATTGTTTTTTCAGGTTCTAATGGATTGGGATTTAGTTTAACTAGTCGTGATTCATTGACATCATCGGGTCAAAAAGTTATCTGTGTGAAAAATATACTACCAGGTGGAGCAGCTCTAATCGATGGCCAATTAAAACCTGGTGATCTTCTAATGAAGGTAAATAAATGTTCTTTCTTCCACTTAACGAAAAAAAACCTATCTAATTTTATTCTAATTAACCTTAAATCAAAAATTTTGATAGTGTTTAATCAAGAAAGATTTCGTAGCTTTTGAATGTTCCAACCTATCTTGGTGAAGCAGACCTTGTTAGCTCTCACCATACATAATGTTGCCACACAATTACAATAATAAAATAGAAGTTCTAGTGATACAACATAAATCAAGCCGTTATCAAGAATCTCTAACTTCATCGCTTTAGGTTACACAAGTTCAAAACGAAGCAGGTTTCATTGAAAATTTGTTTAGTCAGCCTAGCGAAGTATTCTATCTATGGTAGAAGAATAGCGGTGAATACATTTAAAAATTTTCAACAAGAAATATTTTAAAAGCTAGTAGTTCTCCACAGACTTATCCGAATTAATTTATGCCGAGAAACCTATTTCAGCCCTCTCCGACGTCGATAAGAAACTTTAAAACAAATTTGTCAGATTTCTATACACTGACTTACTAGAAACACTAAATAAAACGGTATGTAAATGAGTTAAATGTCTTTTAGTACTAGTCAGCAGTTATTTAATGCTATTAAAAAGACTAACCTAATAAATTGTATGGTTATTCACTTAGCTACGGAGTCTATATGACTGCTGACTTGTGCAACAGGGATGAATTTCAATTCATTCGTAAGTAAATGGCAGTATCAAGACAGCCCACTCAAAATGCACATATACAGGAAAAGAATGATCACCTCCGGTCCTTAACATCAAGGGGAAGATTTTAAAAAAATCCCTACAAATTAAGATTCATCCTTGTTACACAAGTGAGTGGCTATTTGGACTCAATAGCTCGTTGGATAAAACTTCAAGCGTTTGGGACAAAAGGTACTGGGTTCGAGTTTCACTGTGAACATCAACACTGGGATTCACGTGCATCTGAAATAAAATAAAATATGCTGTTTGAATTCCAGTCTTAACCATTACTCAACTCTACTTAAAAACAATATAATATTCTAGAAAATAATAGTTCTACTGTCTGTATGCAAATGCAATTTTCTAATCTTTGTATTATTTTCTGTGTGTAAATTTCGGAAGTCAATAGAGAAAATTGTTTTCTATTATCTATTTTTTATGCATATCTATGTGTAGGTTGATAATATTGATGTGAATGAAATTGGTCAAGCACAAACAGTTGCATTATTACGAAGTAAACCTGTAAATACTTTTGTTACTTTAGTTGTCAAACGATCAAGAAATAATTCCCATAATGCAGATATCAATAATAATAATAATAATGACCATAATCTTGATCAAGCATGTCTACCTGATTTGAAAACTATGCAACCATCTGTTATCTGTACAATAGCATCAAGTTGTTGTATAAATACTGTAAATGAACAACCAACAAAATCAATATTATCTTCAATATCCTCATTATCATCAACATCACAACCAATAACACAACAACATAATGAAAGAGTGATTGTGGAACAACCATCTAGTCATGATATAAAAATACCTGATAAGGTTAGCATTGATAATTGTATTTTTTCATTAGTGAATAATATTGTACCAAATCAACCTGATTTCTAGATGATAGTCTAAAATTTTTTTGCTAAAATATTCGTTAAACTACATCAGATCTGTTATAATTGTATAATACTTACGTGAAAGACTAATCAACTACTTAAAATTCTAACGGAATAGTACCATTGTTCATACTGTGAAAGGTCAAAAGTTGAAAGTAAAACGCTTCATAAAACAAGTTCACAAAAACAGAATGTAGGGGGGGGATAAAAGTTGCATCCATACATTTGTCTCTGTTATTCATTACTATTGATTGTAAGTTATTAATTTTGACCTTTTTCCCATAAGTCTCCTAGAAATACCTCAAGTTACACTGTTTTTTGTTGGTTAATTATTGATAGCCTCTAGCTGGTAAGGATAACCACAATAACAACTTTTAAATTAAGTAGTCAGGATTTAACAACATGGCTCAGACCAGAAGCTAGTGACTTTAGGGGTTGATGCCAGGTTTTGGTTTGACCACCCCTAACTTTCTTCCGTCCATCTCCAACACTAGTCAAAATGGCGCGCCGTAGTATTCGGTGGTTGAGTATGAATAATACGTGGCTTAATCAGTCGATGCAGATTCACAATCTCATCAACTGATTTACTATCATTCCCTGTTATCCTGCGTCTAACCTACAAACTACGATTCTGATTAAAGAAGTAAATTGCAAAAGGAACATTAAAATGTAATAAACTGTTTATTTCAATTTTTTATACACATAGTTCCCTTTATGATTTTGAAAAGAGCAAGAACAAAGATTCTAGCTGTAGTATTGCTATACTATACGAATATGTCTTTAATATAACAATATAACTTCCGACCAAACTCTTTCATATAAGTAATTTAAACCCACTATGTAATTATAATTTTAAATATCACAGGTTGTAAGCGGCTGACGCGAACCTACGAAGAAAAATGAATCCATGCTATTCTGCTAGAATTTTTATTTCAATCTTGTAAATATGAATATAGGGTATTAACAATACAACAAATCTACTGGTCTAAGAAGATTAGATATTATGTTCTGAGACAATTGTTCATTTCAATATTTTTATTTTTTTAATCATGTATTTTCTATTACCATTTACTGTTTATTCTAATCGATTTTCATTTTTGTGTATGTTTTGTATGTTAAAACATAACAGTTTTTTTAATACTTTCACTCTCATGCACTAGGCTCTGCATTCAATAGTACATATTATATTTTTTATCTATTACTTGATAGTTAGTGTTTTGTTCTGCAAAATATCCCATTATCAATTTTTTTTCTTATTGACTATCCCTAATGAAGTTTAGCTTATTTTTCTTTTTTTCATCGATGATTTATTGAACTACTTCGTTGACTTGGAAATTTATCTTAATAATAGTAGTAGAGTGATCATACTATGGTTTGACGCCCGTGCAGTATTCCAGCCCTCACACAAATCGAATGACGAAGTGTGATACTTATATATTTGGTGCCTCATATACCAAGGTTTATATGTTTAAATAAAATAATAATAAGTAGAGTGATACTCATGTTATAATTTGTCGTTTGAATGCTTATTGTCTTGGCACTTTTAATGCTACTTTTTGCATCTGGTCGTCGTTGATTGTTATGCCGGAAACGCTTATCACTTATACTCGGAACGAAGGACCTCTGCAATCCCCACGACGCGAGAGTAAGAACATAAATACGACGACGACGATTCTAGTAGAAAATACACTCATCTATATATTGATTGTACACCCTTCGATTACGCTCCCAGGTCGTTAAGACCAGCATTAATCCAACTTCCTTTTCAGGTTCCTGAAGAAATACCCTTCCACGGTATGGGCAGCCCGGAAGTGATATCAGCCCTCATACCCGTAACAGCACACGAGACCAAGTTGGTCACATTCAAATCCTTCCTACACCTCCTAATAACTCTCTTACCTCCATGACTAACCCTCCTCACGTCTCTTCATCACCTCGCACCGCTAGGGCAAACGATTCGAGTACGCGGAACGCTATTCCTGGTCTCCTGAAACCATGCTCTAAACTACATGTAGGAGCTTTTAACGTCTGAACACTGTGCCAAATAGGACAGCAGGCTTCCTTAGCTAGGACTTTAGAATCCCGCGTCGTCGATGTGTGCTGCGTCTCCGAAACGCGCATACAGGATCCGAGTAGCGTCATTCATTTGACCTCACCATGCCAAAATAAAGAACCGACTCGATTTACGCTTCGTGTATCTGGAAGCCCTGATTCTGCTTCCCGTGGCCTCGCCGGTGTAGGTATGGCATTGAGTCCTAGGGCAGAACTAGCTCTCTTAGAGTGGATCTCAGTAGACAGTCGCTTGTGCGCTGTCCGACTGAACGGAACAGTAAGGATCCGAAATGACTCTTAATTATAATAATCCCGCTTTGTTTAACTCTTAAATAATCTCCACATAGATTTCGTTATCAGTACTGTTCCTAATCCTAAAATTGTACATTTGTCATAATGTGAGTGCCTAATCTATAAGATCTCATGTGGAAGTCACATCATTGTCTACACTGACTCGTCCTATCGTAATCATCATCAATATATGGTGGATAACACATTTAGGCTGGAGATGGAAAAATATATTTAATATGAATAAAAATGATAAAACAACACACAAGAATGACCACGCCTGCAATGCTGAGCTATGCCATCTGATTGGATTCAATTAATCCTTTCCGCCTTCTCCATAGTTGTGTTTTTCTCCGCATAAAATGTTGAATATCTATTTTCCCAGTTCTCTCGTTTTCAGCTTTGAGGGTTGTGTGGTTAGAGCCCAATGCCCTTACAGACCAGCTTTTTTATACATCAACCGGAGTTTACTGACTATTAACACCCTCTTTGTCTGTACTACAAGAACAAATTCAAAGCGATTGATTGTCAGTATTGTTTAGTCCTGTAATTGCGCATAATATTGATATTCTTTTTCTGCTCAAACTTAGAAGTACTTTCGTCACTAACTTAGCTCTCTATAGGGTTAACCTTTTTCGCTCCCCTAAAATTTAAAAAGATATAACTGTCCTGAAACAAGTTTTGAGAAGAGGGTCACATATGATACTTTGGGTGAGAAAAAGTCGTACTTAGCCATACTAAAATTGATAAGTTGATGTCTGACTTGACCCCGATTTCCGATACAAAAGATTCTTATGGTTCTCATCAACTTGTGATGTTGATTTTAGCTATGTATCAAAATCCAGACATCCTACCTATAATCAACAAGAAATTTATATTTTATAGTTTCAATGTAACATAAAATAACGTGTCTAAAAATTGGCTGCAGTGACGCAGATTCATTCATTATTTATCTTCCCGCAAATCGCCGTGTTTATGTTTATCTATCTATTTGTGATACCTCCAGTGCATATAAAGTGTTCTGATGTATACTTAAAAATGAGTATACTACACAATATTTCTCCTTGTCCCATTCTACCGCTGTGAACTGTTCTCGTTGAGTTCGGAAAATATATACATTTAACATATATATGATTACTATTGTTTTTGTAAAATAATCAAACAGATAACAATTAATTTGTTGACGCTAGCTGTTGGTTAATAATAAATGAATTGTTTACCAAACACTGGATCAAACAGAGACTTGTTAGGTTCAAATAAAGGCATCTCATCAACCTACAAAATCTCTGTCTTAACTACCTTTGTTTCTTACGCTTTTCAATTGTCGGTACTTAGTACTTTTTTAAAAAATGTATGTCTCCCTCTTGTTGTTTTATCCTTCTGTTTATCTCATTTTAACTAATCAATACGCAACCACTTTATGTCTCCAGTTCCTTTTTTATATCTTCGTCAAGATGAAATGTTTGTTACATATGAAGCCTACCTATTAATTGGAAAAACTATTATAATGATGTAACCATGAGTACTACTGATTCGTTCGAACTAGTAGTGTGTCGATGTACCAAGTTCATTAGCATCCATAAAAAACTCATTGGATAATTAAAACGATTATCTTTAGGTAAAAAATTTGTAGATGGTAATATCAAAAATATTTCTATTTTTTCTATGACATCAAAAATTTCTACTGACTTTTTTCAACATAAAATAGTTTTTAAAATTGTAATTTATTTTCTCGTAAATCTTAACTTACACATTTGTTTTTATTTTTGCATATCCTCTATTTTAAGCTATCCGAATGGAATTGTTGTTCATCCGACATCTCTCAAAAATTCCATCCCCTTCCACCTTCACATCCTTCATATAAACTTCATGAAATCGATTCATCTCACTGGTCAATTTATTTATTGAATATACATTTACCTTTGACAAAAGTCAATGAATCTGATAAAATTACAACAATACGACAATATACAGATTCTACTGTACATCAATCAACAGTTAAACGATATACAGGTAATCCTGTCACCTTAGGTGTAAGTGTATCAGTAAGACGCTTGTCAAATAATTTGTGTGTTAATAGCAATGATGCCCTTGGTGGTGGACTCAGTAGTTCTATTACTGCTACTGCTAATACTACTGTTACTGTTAATGAAAAACATTCAAATGTACAAATTGATAAAACTAATGATTCACAATGGAATGCTGTCTTTGTAAGAACTGTAATTGATGGTGGTCCTGCTTATCAAGTAAGTGTTGTTATGACTTGTTTATTATTTATTTATTTTCTTTTTTTTAATTATTTATTGTTTTGTTTTATTATTATTTTTTTCCAAAATCTATTTTTCTGTTGTTGTTTCTTTTTGTAATTTTCAGTTAGACGCAAAGTTTTGGTTAGGAGATTATGTTGTTTTTTTTTTTGGTAAAATTTTGACAGTTACAATCCTACGGATTATCTATTCATTTGTGATTATTCTTTTTTCTTTTAAAAAACAATACTGTATGCTATAATTTCATCTTGATAAAATAAGAAATTACCATTTTCCAATTCAAGGGTATTTAATGTAAACACGCATTTGGATATGTATATGTATTGATCATGCTTAAATCTCTCAGCTAATTGATATAACACATTCTTTAATACTGTAAGTGATATTTCATAAAATTAGCTTAGTTAAAGAAAAAAATATTGTGAACAAATAAAGAACTACAAGATTTATAGAATGAATTGAATTCCACTGCTTCTTAAATAGTTATGAATGAAATGTAGTTTAACGACCTGCACTTATCGCTTTCAGTTGAATTTATGGATATCATGTTCTTGAGGTAGGATGTATTTATGAAGGACTAAGAAATGGTTTTATAATTGATTGATTACTGAATAGTGACCAATGTCAAGTTATTCTTAGTGCAAATCCAATTCTACCTGTTAAATTGCTATGCGACCACTAGTCTAGGTGGCTCGACATCGCATGTACTATGTTGAGATAGATATATGGTGTTGGTTGGTGGTAATCGACCAGTTTCGTGCTATTTGGCACTCATCAACAAGGTGTACCCCGAAATCTTGAGATAGCCTTCTGTAAGGTTTTCTAAGCATATTACTCGAAATGTTGCCTTAAGGAAAACATTGTTTCTACTATGTGAAACGACTGGTCACTTAATGTATAATCGGCATTAGGAAAAGCTTAAGGCATAAACCATTCAAAATTATTGATAAACTGCAAATACCACTTTTACTCCGCTTTTCAGTAGGCATTAATACGAGGTGTTTCTGAACTGACTTTTGTATTCAAAAGGAAAAAGGTTGTAAACCTGTACAATAAAAAAATAATTGTTATGAACTATTGTTTGAACTATTATATAATTCCTTTTCTATTGTATCTATTCATTATTGTCTACTCATTCAATTAGTTTTTCCTCTTAATTGTGATTCTTGATTACATAGTTGTTTACTTTAATTATCACTATTCATATGACTTAACACTTAATATATAAATACACACTGATTTCAGCCACTATATTCAATGCCATATTTTGTGATCGAACGCATATTATGTTGCATCTGCTGAATACTTAACTGACTTAGTACCTGGTACCGAGAGCCGTGAATCAAACGATGTTTGTAAGAACATGAAAACTACAGACTAGGACTTGACACACATGATATTGATCACCAACTAGTGATCAATCAATTGTGAATATATAAGGATTTATTTGACGCTTAAAATAAGTCTAAATAAACACCTAAATACTCTAATTTTCAAAAAGTTTACACTGATTAATAGTCATATTTGTATGCAGAAAACTAAGTAGTTCTTGACATTAATTAATAATTTACTGAATAAATCTAGATATATAGTATCATAGAATTAACTACCTATAACCAACTGATGTAACTAATGTAAGTGATTACCCCTTAAAACGTGTCTATATGTCACGGAAGATTTGAAAAAGAAATCAATATTGTATATCAATCGCACTCAAATCAGTTAGGATCTGGCTCACCATATCATGTTATATGATGGGAATGGTTTAACTCATTAGTTCTTGTTGACCTTTGGGAAATTTATTAAAATTCTTACTTTAATGGATGATATAACTAATAGTGGCAGCACTCTAGTATCAATAATCATGTTGCTTATTCAATTTTTGTTCCTTCTAGGTTAGGTTTGCAGAACCTCGTACTTTTTCTAATATTTACACAGCTAAGTACATGAATACGTATATGAGTACTAGGTTGTATTACTTATAGTTAAAATTTAATTAATGGACTACAATGAAAAACTTTTATGAATATTCTTCAATATTTGAATGAATTATTATTTATACTTGTTACCCTTCATGGATCATTGGCCGCCGACCAAGAATCACCAGCCAACTCTGTCCTGCGTTATGCTTTCCACTTACTGCCTAGTGCTATTCGCTCCTTAATGCCTGCCTCCAAATCCCGGGGCAATATGTTCTTTGGTCTTTCTCTTTTCTTTTTGTCTTGAGAATTCCAAATTAGGGCTTGCCTTGAAATGCGGTTTGATGATTTTCGTAAAGTGTAACTTATCCACCTCCATCATCTTGTCCTAATTTCCTCCTTAACTGGAAGCTGGTTTGTTCTCTGCAACAGTAGGTCACTACTGATTATGTCTGACCAACGAACAGTTTGACAGAAATTATTCACCGAAAAATTTTACACAAGATTCCTGGACACAATGTTGGATTTATCTAAATTTCAATAACTGAGATTATTTATAATATAATTTTTACGTATGATGTACAACAAAAAATGTTAAAATCTTTCCATTACTATTTATGGTATTATTCTCTACATTCTATTAATGATTAGTTTTTGCTACTCTATCAGTTTTCTCCAGAGATTGAAAGTTTTAGCTATTGTCACAATGTACTGAAATCAGTTAGTGAGCCAGTCCATGTATCATTACATTTTACGTAGTTGAACAGTAATATTCACTTAGGTGAAATCGATTCTTCGTTACTATAATGGGTTTGCATTTCTGTACAGTTTAAACATATATGACCCCCATAGATGTTGGTCAATTATGTAATATCTGGTTAAGTTTGTCATCAGAATGACTTGTGAAAAATTAAATGCAACGTAATAGTACCGTAAACTTGGTAATAAGTAATCTCAACTTATACTACTTGGATATTAACAAAATTAAACTAACAACTAGTAAAATATATCGTTTTCAGTTAATAATACACTTGGGTATTTACAAAATACTCAACACAAAATATATTAACTGAAATTCAGAAAGTCACCAATTAGTCAGTCAATGAACATGAATTCTGATTATTAATTTTCGTATCTGACTATCTTAACATCATGTGTGGATAATTCACTCGATTTTTGGCCATACGAAAATCCAAACCGTTTTTATGTATTCAAAATAGTTTGTTCTCTTCCTTAACTTACCCTGGTAATATTGTTTTTTGATTCAGCATGGTGAGTTTCATGCTATTTTCTCTATTAACCTTGTTTCCTCTAAACTTCATCGACCTTTTTAATTCCTCATATATAAATATTCTTAACAAGTATAAGTGTGGTCAGATTGTTAGACATATATTACGCTAATATATCACATAGTTCTGATAATCTCCATCGTTTTATTACACTGTCCAAATTTATCTAGGGAACTAATTATGTTAAACTTTCTTAAACTGTCAATCTTTAAATTAATTGCATAATACTATTTCGAATTTTGTGCTGTTCTACTAGAAAGCTGAGTGGTGGAGTTTAACCATCATTTCAGGCGTGAGACAAGTATATCACACTTTTCAATGAACAACTGTCAAATAATATTGCAAATCAACTTAAGTTGAGTATTTAAATTATTACATCGAAGCTTAATTGTCTAACAGAAATACATTCACCACAGAGCCTGTAGGTATTAGTTTTGATCTCTGACAGGTTTTTAAAGTATACAATCATGTTTATCTACCTAAAGTCAGTTCCTGGCGATAAACTATTATCGACTACACCAGTTTTCTGTATATGAAGTGTAAATGTTGATGTTTACTTAATTGTGTATAATCCATTTCAGATAAATATAAATTCTTAACTCTCTCTCTCTCTCTCTCTCTCTCTCTCTATATATATATATATATATATATATATATATATATATGCTTATAATTTACAATTAATTGACCATATGCAGAATTTTCACATAACTGAAATAAAACAGATAATCTAAAATCTACATAATATGAGAATGTTTACAACGCATGAGAATTCTTACAAATTAATATTACAGACAAAATAATTTTCTGTTAACCTTATTATTATTATTTTCCTACTATGCATCCACACAGCTTTCTCTAGCTATTGAGATTGATTGTGTATAAGAATGTATTAGTAACTAATGCCATTTCCATAATAACGTCGTGATAGTGTTACCTAAAACAGTAAAGATAAACAATAAAAGACCTGTATAACTGGTTGGTAACGTCGGTGATTATTGCGTAGGATAGTGTGAGTTCGAGCCTATAATTTTGCCATGAGTGGAATGATTGATATGAGTCCCAATCAACATGAATCTGGAGATTTCCTCTTAAAGTAACATTTTCCGAGAATTCAATTCAAACTAACTCGTAGAAAAATTCTTTAAAGTCGCCATTTTGGATTTTTAAGCCTCCTATATGTAGTTGAATTCAGCACTATAAACGGATAATCTTCACGGGCCCATGTGTTTTGTCCTGCATTATTTTCTGGCGAAATAATAATAAGACTTCTGCGTGTTTTATTTTCCTAATTATTGGAGGAGGATCAGGAATCACCAGTAGTGTAGTCTCAGTTTCACTGGAAGTGATTATGCGTTCCTGTCTCAAATTGCGTAACATGCGGCGGATTAAAATAGCCTCTAACTATCGAATATCAATTTAGGTACAAGGAGATATCGCGTTATCCGGCTGAAATAATCCTATTATGAAGTTGGTAGATAAAATTTGGTTGGTTCTAGATACTACATAACCATGATATTTGTTCACTACTTACTGACAGATCAATATAAGAAAGAAACAAGTAGTTAGTTTTATCACATATTTAATCATTGCAACTTGTCAACATATCATCTTATCTTGAGAGATTTTCAGTTCATTACAATTCGAAGGATTTGTATCCTTTACACTATAATTTTGTTAGTTATTATAAACGCTATGCCAAGTATTATATCCTAAACAACTCACTACCATTGAAACTAACCAAAAAAAACGAGTTAACATGCATTACATGTCCTACTTTCTGTACATTACACTGTACATAAATGCATACTAATCGTTAGGTATCGTTTTACATTTTTAATTGATTTTACACACAGTGAACATCTATAAATTTCCTCTCAAGATATTCTTTATTGTTTATTTCCCCATGTTCCAAGTAATTGGGATGACTTCATATTTTGGAATAATAAAGAAATTTTTATTGCACGCCTCTTTTCTGCATTTAAATAATTTACTGACATTTATCGTTTGTTTATTTTAGGATGGACGTTTACAAGTTGGTGATCGTTTATTAACTATAGATGATCAAAATTTATCTGGATTATCTACTACTGATGCACTTAATCGTCTAAAATCTGTTATTGCAAAAGATTTGAATGAATCTCCTCATCCATGTGTTCATCTTTTGATTGCTCGACCTCGGGATGGAATTGATCCAGATAATTCTTATACAAATTCTATGGAAAATAAAAGTGAGAATGGAATGAATAAAATCACCAGTTCTAATCAGCGTAAATCTTTCTCGGAAGTGGTAAGTATATGTGTATGATAATTGTCTATGATAAGTTCTGAAATCTTTAAGTCTCACTTATCAAAATATCTCAGTTCAATAATAAAATGAACCAGTACACTACTACTACGTCATGAGTGAATGATCGAAGAATACTTGTAGCTTGAGATGATGTTGGAAATGTGATCTCTGAAGTTTCATTGTTCTTTTGAATAACACTATCAACTCGTAATTCAAGGAGAAGTTGGTTGCTAAAATTTTGATGTATGAAGTATTGAGGTCAATCCCCATGAAGAAATACTTGGATGTCGTCTGACTAAATTAAAATGGCTTAATTACATTCACTTTTATTATTTATTTTGTAGAAATGCTTCTGTTAGTAATGTTTTCCTACATGTATAATAAGATAAATAATCTTATAGTATGTCACCAACATTTATAACTTTGACTATTCATTCTAAATCTTTGATTTAGAACTTCTTTGTTATTCGTAACACAGTGCAGTGGTGTCTCTGTTCTTAAGGAGTTCAAATCTCGCTTTACGTACTTCGGTTTAGGAAACCGGATAGTATCATCTCATACATGGAGCGTGACTAATACGCAGATATATGGTGATCAAATTAATTTACTATAACTAGCGCGTTGAAGTAAGTTATGATCGACCATACCTAACTCATTCATATCCCAACTACCTCAGTCAATGTAAGTTTATGATCACTCCATCAACCTGCAATAACAATACTCTATAATATTTATGGTCAATTTTAACTATATATATATATATATATATATATATATATATATATATATTTGAACTCTTTAAATTTTGTTTATTACAATTTTTAGGCAACAAAAGAATCACATAATGATAATAGTGCTAATTCAAAACCGCTACTAGTCTCTGCTGTAGTACACTCATCGGAATCTGTTTCAATGGCCGGGGGGAATTCACATGATTCATATAATCCACCTGGAAAATACTCTTTATCATCTAATCATCTTGCTGTAACCAACTTATCACCGTCATCATCGTCACAACATCTACAATCACAAAAACAATCCACCAATCTCTCTAACACCTCTTATCCTCTGTGTCTAATTCAAAATTCTCAGGTTAGTTAGTTGAATCTAATTCCGCTCATATCATTCACCATTATTCATTTTTATCATTGTTGCTTTATTAATTATTATTAATAATAATGCAATAAACGTTTTAAACTGTTAACCAATTAACCTAATTGAAAGGAATCTGATTTCATTAGAAGTCTACTATTTTTTGAAGTCGTTTATAATATCCTTTTTCTCGTCCTTCGTATATTTGCAGTTTATTTTTCATTCAACAATGTTAGGGACTCCTTTTAACTTATGAATTAATACTACTACTATTACTACTACTACTACTACTACTAATAATAATAATAATAATTTACCATTATTATGAACAATCAAAAGTCTTCCGTCTAAAACTCAAGAAAGTATTTAAACATGATCAAAAGTGAGTTCGGTTAATCAGGCAAACGAAATTAAACAATTACGTTCCTCTAGCTTTACTCATAGTTTATGAATATTATCTTTAAAATTCTTGCTTTTTCCAGTTTGCCAAATAACCTCATCAGCCAAACTCCCATAGATTTTATTTATTTAATTAACATTCAACTTCGAAAAAACACCCGTGACATTCTAACTTGTACTGTAGTAGTTCAAGGTCAGAAATTCTATACTGGTGGACTCATTTCTGTTAAATGCTTCAATTTATGTAAATTCTAATAGGTTAGTAATTTCTGAAAGCTTTCCACTTTAATGATTAATCCTAACATTATCCTTCGACAAAACATAGATCAAGACCAAATGGTAATATATCATTTTTTTGCCACTCAATAACTTTTCAACCGCTCTCACTTAGTGCATGAATAAACTCGGAGTCTGCATTAATTAATCATGCTACAGTCTTAATGCTAAATGTTCGACTAAAATTTTCGTGTAACGTTAGAGATGCTGTGAGTTGGCTATGTAAATTGAATAACTGATTATACGGATTCTTTAACTGTTTAAAGCGTGAACATAATACTTAGCTATTGAATGTCTAAGTTTCATGTCATTCATATTGATTGAATAACTGACTTTTATACACTGACGATTTCTGAGCCTAAATTAACCTTTTATTTACCACTAACTTTTTATTGTTACATTTTCTCTCTCCAGTTTTATCAATGTACTTATTTTTACTTAGATCTTTATCTCTAAATTGCATCCCTAACAAACAGTAGATTGGTGTTTGAAACTAAATGATTCAATGACATGATGATATAATAAAACTTGAAAGTATTAAGTTACGGTATTGAAAAATGGTTTAAAATATATTCCTTATAGTGTGCTTTAATTTCTAAATATTATACTCTACAATATCAATCCTAACATTATATAAAACTGTATTTGGATTCCATTGCTAACCGCAATTCAAATATACTGGAAAAAACTTGTTATTAAAAGGGAATATCAAGGCATCCACTCAGAACCTGTCATATATCAACAAAGGCCGATCACTTGTAAGCCCGAATATGAGCAACGCCGGAAAAATTAAAACCCCTACTGATTAGTAAACGGAATACACCCATCACGACATTAAATAAGAAAGATTAGACAATAGTATATTGAAACGTGGGAATAATTTGACAATCTGTTGTTCGTAACTTTTATTAATATTTTGTGTTTTTCGTTTGCTATTATTGTTTATCGATTATTCAGTATGATATCTGTTGGTTCCCTATGTTTATCCATCATTTGATCCACATGGTTGTCTGCTTTTTACTTGTGACCAAAAAAACCATGTTGATTACCTTCCGTTCTTTTGTCGGTTTATTTTTTTAGAAGTTAATTCAAACGCTTCTGTCATTGAGTGCTATTATCATTATTGGTATGATAATTATTATGACTATTATTATATCTGGAAAAGCGAGCAGTTAATTTAATAATGGATTAGATCTAATTGACCCATTTATTGTTCTGATTTTTTTTCAAAGTTCATTATACGTTTTAGTACGCTTGCAAAGCAAAGCATGATAATATGGCCTAGAAAAGTGACATTACATCGTTTTTATGCTGAATACAGAATATAAATGACACGTAATTACCGTTCTTTGTTTTCTTCTCTTTATCTAATGTAATCTAAATTTACATTCTTTTATTTCTTTACTTTTTCAATTTTCTTGAATTTTTACATTGTCTTTTCCGTTTCTGATTTGGTGCAATATAAATTACACTTCAGTTTTATTCTTATTTCATTCGCATTCTCTATACTAAGTTGTATTTATTTTATAACCATTAATGTATGTTGGAAATTATTACAAAGCGCAAGTTGTCGATCTTTTCATCGCATTATCGATTAATCGATGGATGATTAAGGTAAAGTCGACTTATTTCTATTACTATTAGTAGTAGTAGTAGTAGTCATAGTGTTACTTCAACTGATCGATACTATGGTAGTCTTCACTTAATTACACCGATATAATTCAATATTACTTACAAATGGCTCATTCAGTTTTCAAAATAATTAAACACCAACCAGGCTCTTTGCAAACTGACCAACACAAAGCCCAATTCTGTTACAATCGCGCAGGTACCAAGATACTCAATTGACCAACATTTTACAATTATAGATATCTATACTTTGTATTGTCCTCTGAGTGCAATTAACTTGTCTTTTTCCCTTATTTAAACCCACTCTTCTCAACCATCAACCCTAAGTTCCGAAAACGTGTTATGCCTTTCTATTTGAATTCGCTGAATTAGATATAATCTCTACTGTTGGCATGCTCATCGTAATCTGAAGTACAGTAGTAAACAAATGTTGTATTAACACTAACACTGTACTACCCTTAACATTATTGAGAGTTCAAATAATTAGATCTAATCGATTATTAAATTAACTGCTCGCTTTTCCAAATACGGTTTGCATCAAATAGTTGTACGGGTTTCGTTTAATACTCACTTTTTTTCGGTTATTTCACTAGATAACATTTCTTCCAAATGATTAGAAATTCGTCAAACCCTAATTTCCAATTTACATTTAACATATACTGCATACATTGGACATTGTCTATGATTATTCTATTACCTTTTCTTACTACAGTATGGTTGTGATTTAATGGCAAAAGAACATATTCTAGAATTGTATTGGGAGCTGTACTAGAGAACTGTTATTATATGAGTATCTGTGTTGTTATCTAGATAAAGTATTGATTAATCCGCCTAGATTATCAATATAGAAGACCAATGATCTTCCTTCGACTGATAGCTCAATTGATATAATTAACATTACAATATAGACATAACTACGCCATAAGTAAAAGGGAGCTGAATAATAAGTTCACAGTTAATTATCACTAACTTAAGGAAAGAAAAACGCACAATAGTAGTTTACGTACCTAACGAAAGCTTGCAAACTTGAAAACATAAGAATACAGTAGTCCAAACTTCTAATAATAATTATACAATAAAAATACATAATAACTCTCTACAAGTTAATTACAAAAGTTACAATAATAATTATATTTACCTCGTTGGTGTAAACCGGTTGAATAACCTCTATTCAAACTAGTTTTTTGTTCTCATTTCTACCATCCCTCTTAAAGCAAATTTGTTCTGTACGTTTTTCTTTCTTCATATCAATTTTTCAATTTACATATATTTGTTTTGGTTATAAAATAGTAATATAATAGTAATATTTTTTACTAGATATCGTTCATCCGTTTGCTCGTATGTTTGTTTCTGTGTTTGTGCACAGAAATACAAGAAGAAAAAAACAAACAGATTATTTTGCTCATCATTTTCAAATCGAATCCTATATGACTATTTAACAATAGCTAAAATAGTGGTAAAAAGGGGCAAAGTAATTTTGGAAATGCAAATGAAAATACTAAGAAAAACAAACAAAATATTTTTTATCATAGTTGTTTTGTTTCCCTGTAAATTGTTTACTCTCCTTTGTGGATTACATTCATTAACAAAACAACCATACTTTGCTTTTCTTCCATGGCACATAGGTTGTATTATTGTCACTTCAATTGATGATTGTTTTCTTTTTAGTTGAAGGGGTTTGTAGCGGTCGGCTTAATTTGTACCTTGCCTTCGGCACGAATTAATCTCCGTTGAGATATCGTCGAAAACTAAGAACTACCGGCCCTGCCACTTCGTCAGTACAAACCCACAATATCCTCAGAAATCGAACCCAAGACTTTGTTTTGCGCAAAGTCCATAACCTTTAAGACTGCTGGATCAATATTCAGTGGTTACTGGCTCTACCATCTTCCGTTGCCTTCAATTTGTAACTGCCCCACATTCTAAATGATTGAAGTTCGCTGGTTATGGATCCTCGCTAGAACTTCAGAGAGTAGCTAACTTACTTAATTACTTACGCTTGTTACCCCTCGCGGAAGAGCATAGACCTCCCACCAGCTTTTTCCATCCAACTTTGTCCTGGGCAATATTTTCCAGTTGCTATTCACTCTTTTTATATCTGCTTCCAATTCTCGGCACAGTGTGTTCCTTGGCCCCCTTCTTTTCCGTTTCCCTCCAGGATCCCAAGTTAGCGCTTGTTTCGTGATGCTGTTCGATAATTTCTACAGTGTACTTTCTATGCACTGCCAACGTCTTTTCCTAATTTCCTCTTCATCTGGAAGCTGGTTTGTCCTCTCTCATAGTAGGTTGTTGCTGATGGTATCCAGTCAACAAACATTGAGCATGTTTCGTAGACAATTGTTCATTAATACTCGTACGTTTTTAATGATAGTTGTGGAAGTTCTCTAAGTATAGTAGAACTGTCTTCACGTTCGTATTGAAGATCATGAATTCGATGTTGGCTTGCAGACAGATTTTTTTTAGCTCCATATGTTTTTCTGTTGTAGAAATGTGCTCGCCTTGCCAATCCTTGCCTTTACGTCTGCATCAAATCCTCCTTGTTCATCAATGATGCTACCCAGATATACGAAAGTTATCACCTCTTACAGAACTACTCCATTGAGTGTGATCGTTTTGGCGATCGTAAATAATTGCTTTCATTAAATATGATAGTTAGTTATCCATTTGGTTCAGCTATGATTAAACAATCAGTTTTGAATGTTTAATCGTGTAAACATGGTATATATAAATGGCATTTTATAATTTTTGATGTAATCTTTTTCCTTAAACCAGTACATAATCACTAAAACTGGCATAGATCATGTTCATTTCTGATAAAAATTGGTTAGTCGATTTAATTCGAACAGTTTTTTATGACCTCAAGTTCTTGCCTCCTTTAGGAACTGAATACAAAACTTACTGACATGCTCTTTACGTATAGATAACTGAATTATTGTTATTAACCAGTACGATATTATGTAATATCTATGTTTTCTTGTATATGATATTATATAAGCGTAACACAATCCTTCATTATTATTATTATTTCTTTGAATCTCTCATTATAGTCCAGTGAAGAAATGTCAAAAACTTTGCATTTAAAATCAAATACTTATAATTCTACTGTAAATGTCGATAATTCCTATGCAAATGTGAGTATATAAAATTTTCCATTAACACTTGTCTAAAATTTGCTAATTATATTGTTTGCTTAAATGTTTTTATCAGTAACATTTTTTTTAGAAATTCGATTGACTTATCCTACGTTGTGTGTGTGTGTATGTCCCCATCAATCACGTAATATTGGCATCAGTTTCATTGCATGAAGTTTAGCATATCCATTAGTCAAATCATAATAAGGATAATGTAAGATTGATCTGTTTTCTTAAGTAAGCACCAATAACCAATCACTATACATCACATCCCAGTCTATAAATATATATCATAAAAGCAACATGTTAAAATCATCTGTTCATTGAATGTGTTACTCATATTCATTCTGTGTTGCTCTGTTGTTCCTGTTTTTATTATTATTGCTATCACAGCTATTTCTGTTATTAGTGTGTATTACTCTTGCTGGAAATGTAATTGTCATTTTGATTGACCAGTGATGTGGTAGGTAGTTTTGTTTCATCACTTAATTACAATTTAAGGAATATATGCTTATGTATATATAAATGTATATTTACATTTACATGTAATCCCTATAACTCATTAACATTTTATTTTCTCTCTTTTTTATCATTTCTTTCGTTCATTTATTAATTTTTTTCGTGGCTTGTTTGTTTATCTGCATGGATACCTGTGTATATGTATGCATAAATGCATGCAACAACATTTGTCGTTTGCATTTTCATCATTTTACTTCTGTGTTATATAATTTGTTCAATATCATGCTATCTGTAGTAAATGTAGTCATTACTAGTCATTGTTTTACATATCCATCTATAATGCGTTGTAATTCTTCGTGTGTTTATATGTGTTTGCATGTTTTTTTTTGTGTTAATTCTACACTGATTCATCATCTGCTTTAATTACCTGTTTTTCTGTTACGATTTTTATTATCCAAGACGTATGCATATTAGCGTGTCTGTCTGTGGGTGTGTTTACCCGCTTCTATTCCTCTGACCATGCACCTGTTTCATACTAATTAAGTATTTATTACGATTACCCTTTCCTGATAAATATTGTGATCTCCAGTACCTAAATATTAATATATATTAAAGCAAGCTCAACTGTTTTTCGTCTGTTTACTCGCAAGAATATTAATTTCTCTGTTTTAATTCTCACATTAAACAACATTATGTAGAGTTTTTCTTCCGATTATTGACAGAGAAAAGATGAAAACACTTAACATAATTGTTGTTTCATCAATTTAACTTTGGAATTTTTTTCCTGCTGTGATTCATTTCATAGTTGACTTTGAGCATTTAAACTTTCCCTCTTTTGACAGTGTTATCTATGAGATGAATTCATTAATAGTGATACATCTGTTTTCTCAGCGGCTTCCTTTTATTATCTTCATACTCATTACTTGTTTATCTGTTAATGAGAAAAGTAATGCTATCAGCTGGTTAGGCTTTTTTTGTTTTTTCAAGAATATTTTTAAACCTCAAATCAGGTCATCATGATTGTCATTTGTAATTACCACTTTTATAGTCATTTAGTTATTGTAACCAGCCAATAACATCCACAGTCAGGACAAACGATTAATTATATTCGCCTTCGATGCTAATTAATTTCTTCGTCTTAAAATTTATACTACTAATTGTAGATGTTATTTGCTCTGATAAATATACAATCTAAGATGGCTTATAGCAATAATATAAATAGATCGAGTTGATGCACTGAAATTATATTTATTATACTGTTTTTCTTTTCGTCTTTTTCTTTTTGTTTATACACAACAAGTTCTCTTTGTTTTACCATCTACATATGCTCTCCCTTTTTTCTCTATTTTTGTTTACTCTTCCACTTTCAGTAATGAATTTAATAATCTACCTTACGAATTGAATTATTTTTACATTCCGGATACAAATCTAATGTTGTTGTTGTTGCTTGTAGTGTTAACTCACTCTAAATTATATTCCCCTTCTTTTTTATATACCATAAAATGTTTGAAAGACCTCCTTTGATGATTCTAATACTGTTTGCCTCTCCCTCTCGTTCCATTTGATGAGATATTTTATTCACGTAGTATTCAAAACAAAATGTTTATGTATGCACTTACATGTAGTGATACTTTAATGTTTATACATTTGATCGGTTGTTTTCTACTATGGAATTGAATATAAAGATAGTATTATCGTTACTACTACTACTACTACCCTACTATAAGTAACATTCATCATCATCCTTATCGAAAAAAAACTAAGAATTGAGACAAATCTTTTCTCATATTGTGATTTGTTTGTTTGTTATTGCTCTATGCTCAACAGTTGTTTGCTTTTATGACATTGTATAAAAGAAACATGAAATCGAAAGCAAATAAGAATGTGTTTCGTTTCACATCACAGTGTTTGACTGAACTAAGTAAGTTTTGTTATTAGATTGTTTTTACTTTGAGACTAATATTATTTCCTGTTATTATAGTGTTGTGATAATTCATTATTGATTGTGTTCAATGTCATATTTGTCTAGTTTCTTTTAATCCTTACTGGTGGTCGAACCCTACTGGTCGATTTGCAATTTGACCAGTGATCTAATTGACTTTAACATCTTACGGATTATATTTTGATGTTAAGCAATATTTGAAGATGGTGATCGGCAAGAAATTTTGTTTGACTTTCGTTCAACATATTCCTTATATCAATGTATCGCAAAATAAAACTAACTTATTACACTGATATACTAGTTTAATAATATTGGGATCAAATTCTCAGACATTATTTTTGTATCCCAACCTCTTACATTGATATTCAGATTATACACATTCCTTTTTATGTGGCAATTCTTCATGTGAATCATACCTGTATTCAACCGTCGTGTTTACATAATTACTTTTTTGAGGAATTTTTTATCTATCGGCGTCAATAAATCGCAATGACTATTTATTGTGAACAGATGTTAATTTATTTTTGAATTTAGTTTACCGTGTACTTGGTAGATTATTAATCGACTACTTTACAGAGAAAGCTCCAATTAATAAAACAAATTTGTAGTTCAGGTAGATAGATTCATGCAGTGATGTTGCGTCCGCTGAAATATGTAGTTTAATTAAAAGTTTTTTTGTTATCACCCTAAATAAAATTATCAACATCAACTTCAAATGTAAATGAATATTTTAGAATGATTTCACAAGTTCCACATTGATCCGTTTTTATTATTTAATTAATGATTATTTACAATTGTGCAGGTGCATTAATTCTTCTTCTTCCCTGAAATTCTGAGATTTTATATTCCTCACAACGTTTTTTTAAACTTTAGCTAATTTATATTTTCCTTTCCAGTCGTATCTTCGATGCATAGTGCTTCCTATTACCACTGACACGGTTACTACCTCTACTATTCTGAGATTCGGTTTAACAGTTTTATCTTGGTGTGCTAATCGGGTATGGCGTACACATGTACAGTTTTTACTTTGTGACTGACTGAAGATTGTTGATTGTCTTTAAAAAATGTCCAGAGAAACACAACATCCCTTACCGATGACAAGGTCAATTGTGCTCTCTCTCTCTCTCAAATGCTTTTACTATTCAATGTATTCGGATATTTCTGTTAATTAGTTAATTTATTAAGACAAGTTAATAAAATAGTAATGTAATAAATTATAAATGAGAAAAAAATACTCAGGAAATTTTTTTGGCATTTCATTAACGTAAATAAGCAGATAGAGAGTGGATGAATGAGTGAATAAATGAGAGATATAGACAAAGAATCTAGTTATTAAACTTGAATGACAAAAAGGAAATGTATATTGATTGTTACCGGCCTTTCTTTTTTGCTCCAACTTTGTTTCTTTCTCTCCCTAGTCAAGCTATTTTAAAAATGTCATCGTTTTAATTAACTGGTATACGGACATATTTTTATACATTATCAAGAATAATAAAACTATTCCTACTATTTCTCTTTATTTTCCACCTCTCTCTCCCTTCTGCATTCTATCTTCAGACTACCAAATCTGCTTCTTCATCATTATTAATATGTAATACAAAGACTAATGAAAACAACGATGAGAATATTGATGTCAATAGGACTAATCATCATGATGATGCTAATAACTGTAATACTGTTACTAATTCCCTCATAATTAATAATAGTTTTCAATGTGATTCAAAAACAGTTAAAATTGATTATTGCGCGGTGAAAAAAGTTCAAATCCCTGTAACTTCCTGGTAAGTGCACAATGATATTATGACCAATGTAATGTTAAAAACAGTATTATTCGCTTATATGTGTTGCTCTAGTTCATGTTTATCAATACTTCTTATTCAGTTTAATCATAATGTAAGTGATCTGTTCTCCAATATACATATTAACCAAAACTACTGAGATTGTTAGACATGAACATAACTTGAGAAACAACTATTCACTTTGTACTTAAAATCCCACTCTCACCGCGATAATCTATCCGATCGATCACTTTCTCTCATCGTAATTAGCCCCTACGATTTTTCATTCTTCAAATGTATAATAGTTACTTAAGGATGACGCCATCGGGCTGCCACATGAAAATAATGAAACGCGGAGTGACAATGCAGATGAGCAACTTGTCTTTTAATGACTTTCACAGATGTTTAGAATAATGGAAACACAAATGGGACAAGTGTATTGTCACAAATGCGGAGTATTATCGACAACATAAGATCAGTATAGTCTAAATTCTATAAAATGAAATTCTTAGAGCTGTAGTTTGAATAGTTTTTGACAGAGTTGTACCTGAGGACAGTATAAAAAGTCTATGTCTATCTGTCTAATTTTATCTTCAAAATGTTGTTTGCTTATAGTGTGGGGAGCGGGCAGCGACCACTGAATCACTAGTGAGAAGATTCGTAAAAGTTTTAAATTTTTAATCAACCAAGTTAGTTTTCTAATCTATCGGATAGAAGACACCACATTCTAAAAGTTTGTACCTCGATGTGAATATTATATGCAGCGCCTAATAAAAATATCAATTGACCTAGCTTTGTTGTTCATAATTTTATTCATTTAACTTCATCGATCCTCACTTAATGATCTAAGTTATGGCAGATAGTTCCCATAAAATACTGAGAAATTTTTGTGTGCATAAACGAACCTTCAGAAATTTTAAGTACCTTTTATTCTTTAGATCCGCCAATCTTCTTCATAGTTTCGATCACGAATTGATCCTAGTTCAATCGTCATTGAAAACATGGAAGCACTGGGTGCCTGTTACGTCTCAATATAGAACTTTTCAGTACTACATATCCACGACCGGGTATCGGACCCAAGATCTTCGGTCTCGTGCATGAACGTTTGATCACTAAGACGTAATCCAGTGGTGTATGTGTCTAACGTCAATCAACTCACGATATTCCTCAACCGTTACACATTTTTTGCAGTGGAAGCTGTCTCACAATCGACGTAGTCGAACTCCACTGACCACTTGAACTCCAGGAGTTTTCTTTTCGGATACGAGGTCGTGAATGCTAACTGCCAATGAGTCTTTACAATTTTTTCAGTTTTTCGATGATGGTCGAGCCAAGATCAGTTCGTGATTTCAAGTATGAAAACCCTACAATCTCGACAAATCTTACTATACTACTAATCTTTTAATGAGTAGCATCGTTTTTATTATAAACAAACAATATTCATGAATGTCTTCTTGATATTATGAATTAGATTATTTTTGTCAGCTTCCATCAGTGAACTTAGTGTCTTTCGCTGAACTCTTTGTTATTTTTTTCGCACCTTAATACATGGTTTACATACCTAATTGTGAATATAAACATTGATTGAAGTGGGAGATGTTTATACAAATCAAGCAATGTAGTGTTCATTTGTATGTCGTTTTAAAACTGGGGATACCACCTGACTACACGAATCCCCAATAGGTGAAAGTACCACCTTTTAACCATGGAATTTAAGCTTATCGGAATCAAATTACTTGAGTGTTATCATTGTTTGAGACAGCTTACAGTTATTAAAAATTACGAACGATTGATAGATTTTTATTATACGAATTGTGATCTATGCAAACTAGATAGATCAGACGGTTAGTACTCAACAACAACGTCCCAAAGTTATTAATCCACATGCGAATGTGGAAGAAAGATGTAACTTTCTGGAGATTTTTTATATTCCCAGTTGAAATAAAAATTATAATAGAACAATTCCGTTTATATAACAACGAATATGACAGTTGCGACTGCGAAAATAGGGAAATAAGTTCGAGAACAACCAATCAGATATCAGCAAATATCAATGCTAAACTCTCAATCAAAGTTTGTTCGTCAGAACTACAATTTGTTAACATTTTTTTCACAATACTGGGGTTGAAATTAGAATTTCCGAATTACAAATGAGATTTAAGTAAGCATGAAGCAGAAAAGTCGTTTGTCGATTTATTAACTTCGTATACAGTTCAGTGTTCATATCAGTCTGACAAAAACTGTTGAACTAAGCTTCAGTTTAACTTATCAATATAGATGTATATATTTCTCACGGAATGATATGAAGTATATTTATGATCGTGATACATTATTTTCTTCTTTCTTACTGCTTTCCTGGTCGATAATAAAATTCTGGATGTGATTATGTGTTCCACATCCTAAATAAATGTGAAAATACCGATTTTCAATAAAATCAGCTCAACTCTTAAACATTTAGATTCCATTCCTTCATCTAATTCAAATGGTACATCTGAGCATAGCCATCATCATTATCGTCGTCGTCATTATCACTATCGCGATAATGAAAAATTCTATCTTAATTCAAAGAGCTGTTATAGTAATTTAGGTAAGTTGATATATCTGTGCTTTCCGTTTATATGCAATTAATTATGTTATATTTAATTGTCATAATTATCGTTGGTCGACCACTAATTAATTAGTTACCGATATCATGTTTATCTAATCCTAATTGAATTCCACCGACCAAGCAGCAATATTTCAATTTAAGTGACTGAACATTGAGTTCACTGTGTTGAATCATTAACCATGACGCGCAGTACTGACTGGTGTTGGAGACAGATGGAAGAAAGTTAGGGGTGGCCAAACCAAAGCGTGGCATCAGTCCTTTAAGTCACCAACCTGTGATCTGAGCCATGTTGGTAGATGCAGACTACTTGGTCGGGGTCCACGCGACCATGGTAACCAATGGTTGTAGACTCTGGGTAACGTGGCTCAGAATCGATCACAATGGTGTCGGTGTATACACTTTTTGTCATCCGTTAAACGGTGAGATTAAAATTGCCTTAACTTTCTTTCTACGAACTAATTCTTTCTCCCTGTATCATATTGCTATATTTAATCTTTATCTATATACATCACTAACAATGAAGTGCCTACTTCTATGAATTTGGTGTTGATCTTGTTGTGTTAATGGGGTGTGGCAACGTGAACCGATGCATATATGTGCCTGGTCCTATGTTGTAGCTGACTGACTGACTGATCATTGATAAACTTGTATCATTACTGGATGGACATGATGTCAGTTACTGCTCGGTGATCAACCATTTTAATTATTTCAGTCTTACATGAGATTAATCGTGACCTGAATATTTTAATAGTTATTCGTCAGACTGTGATACTGATCTGTGTGAGTAAGCAAACCACGAGAAGCTCCATAGGTTTGCCTTACTAAAAACGCTCTATTAACACAAAACAGAGTTCTAAAGTTTCCTGCTGGCTGGTTTTAATCACCTTTTTTACTCCATATGCAGAGATAAATTGTTATATATTTTAAATTTTATATCATGAGAAGTAAGGCCTTACTGGTTTTGTGACTTTCATTATGATGGTTTCTTAACTATTTATTATTCTATATGTACACGTTTGTAAAGAGTCTTCAAGTTAAATAAATAAAATATCTAATGTGTATTGACCTTTGAATGTGTTTTATTCAAACTCATTCCTCATTTCAACATGTCTGTTACAGCTTAGTTCTAAAAGCTATTTACTAAAGTTCTAAAAATTTCATTTTATAGAATTTAGACTATACTGATCTTATGTTGTCGATAATACTCCCATTTCCGTTTCCATTATTCTAAACATCTATGAAAGTCATTAAAAGACAAGTTGCTCATCTGCATTGTCACTCCGCGTTTCATTATTTTCATGTGGCAGCCCGATGGCGTCATCCTTAAGTAACTATTATACATTTGAAGAATGATAAATATTAGGGGCTAATATTGATGAATATTGCATGCTTTTTAGCGCGACAATGGAATTACAATCGAAAATTACGTGATATCTCATTCGTTCTATGTTCTTATCCACCCCGAAGCTCGGTAACAGTTTTGCATCACCCGTCATTGAAGATAGAATGGTGTATATCTAATCTCTCAGAGTGGATATCACTGAATTTATAAAATAACTATGCCATAAAGCATACCCATATTACTGCTCATGCACTGTGAAATATATCCTATTCACAAGAACGTAACAACATTTCAGGAATAAAGTTTTGCTGTTATGATAACTCGGAAAAATGAATGCGGAAGAAAATAACTCGGTAAGATGATGAAATCAACAAAGTTAACGCCTAATTAATCAAAATCATGTAGTAGCAGCAATGATATAGAAGAATAAACATTGAAAACGTAATTCGAAAAGATAGAGTGGGAATGTTTGTATCAATATATACTGGGCTTCAACATCTACAGCAAAATAAAAAGTACCTGCATCCGTCCCGTTGTAGTCGATTCCACATCATGCTACCCAGCCGACGATCTCAGTTATCATCTTGACACAAATTAGATAGTCTACCAACATGATTCACAGCCTCAGTGAGAGGTTTGTGATATTGTACCTGGCTACCAATCCTATGTAAATAAATATTTTGTTTTTCAACTGTAAATAAAACTGTCATTTATGGGTAAATACTAATGATATGATTTATGTAATTATCATTGTATTGTTTGTCTTCCTCTCCATGTCTTTACACTTTCAGATCAAGATTCAAAAAAACGATTATCGAATTACTCATCGTCATCAACAGAAATATTATGTAATTATCAACATAATTTATGTAAATACCGATCGAATGATAACATTGTTATTGATGATGATCATGACAGTGATGATGATATGGATCGTGATAAGTCATCGATGATATGTTATCAATACTTAACAGATGATTCCGATTTGAATTATGATGCTACTCCTCCTCTGTCGGATCCTGAAACTGAACGTTATAGTTATAAATTAGATTTACTCAGTGAATTAAGTCTTTCTTCAGTCTCTGGCGCTGCTGGTGACCAAATATTAAACATGAATATTCAGAAAAATCCAATAACCAATAAATCCACTTTACATAAATGTTACTATACACATGGTAAATATTTAATTGATAAGAAATGTAAATATCGTGTTGTGTATCGTCAACCGAGAATAGACTTTAGTCAAATGGTACTTGTACCATTTGATCCAGCCTCATGGAATGGTCCAGTGTTAAAACCGAGAACAGCGTTGAACTCAGAAGAACTACAACTTATTGTCGATATGCCGAATTCATTTTCTTCTTTACAAAATAATAATAATCATGTTGAACAACAACCTGATAAAAATATAGAAAGAAGAGGGCATGATTCCGTTGTTGATGTTGATAGTATGTGTAATAAACAAAATGGTGAGTGGGATAATTTCTTTCTTTTCCTAAATTACTGCTAAGGAGAGATCAGGTTATGTAGTTCTTTGCTAATAAATCATGGTTTCATCTGGTAAGAATACAACTGCTTTATATCTTTATGCTTCGCATTTCCTCAGTGACCTTTGCTGTTATATCCCCTTTAGTCTGGTAGTTTTATTGTCTCAAAGTAATTGCATATTACTATAGATATACGCGGAGTTGTTCTTTTCAAATTTTGACCATCCTGACTTCGTTGAATATCAGTCTTTTTTTTGCACTCCTATCTTCCTGGGTTTTATCGTTTGAGAGTAATTGATAAAGTGTTGTATATGACAATGGCCGTTCTACAGAGTTCGCGTCAGTTCATGTTTGTATTAAAATAATCTCAGTCGTGAACGTAACAATTAAGCAGACTGAAAAAAAGTAAAACCGTTGGTGTCTGTCTCTTTTTTTCAATCATTTTAATTAACGCTGCTTTGAATTTCGATTAATTAGACTTATTTAAATTCCATTTTAAACTACACTTGCTTAGTAGAGATGATGGGAAATCGTCTACTTATCATTTTACTCGATCAAATAGCATTCATTTCCATTGCTCTCTTTCAACAGCTATGATTTCTACCATAGATTGATCAATGCCTATCAGGTTTATTCACACTATCAATTTTAGTTATCACAAATTGTCTTTTCCCAATAGTTTGATTCCTCTTCTGAAATTAGGGATAATGAGATGTGAAAAATAACTATCCCAGATGTTATTTATTTTCAGGTCACTGATTAATTGAGTTGTAGCTTTATACAGATGAGTTTTGTCGATCGAGTTATATTATTGTCATCATGGCATTCTGATAATAGGTGATTGTGTAGTGAACAAACACTCAGTCAGGGACAACCAATCTATTGTTTATGCAAAAAATACAGTGGCTTAGTAAAATATGAAAATCATCCATTAAATACATTTGCATATCTTCTTTGCATTGTACTTTACCTACTCCATTATTTTTCTATGTTGTTATTTTGATTGCTCTCTGATTTCGTTTCTGTTTTCTTCAATTCAATTTTCTGCTGCTAGGCTTTCCACTTCCTATTTCCGCTATATACTACTTATAAGTGTCAGCATAAACCACAGTAGTCTCAATTTATGAAGTTTTGCTACTCATCAGTAACAAACATCAAAATATTTTAAATTTGCCATAGATAATATCTCCCACATTCAGTTTCCAGTAGCAAATGGTGATAGATATGAATAGGTTGTCAAACAATTGTGATAAATCGAACCAAAGATTTGCTTCATGATGCACTTATACAGCTCCATAAGATTTCTTGTTGTATAGACCATTTTCTTAGTTCTATTATCATTCATAATCTCCTGAGTCCTAAAAAAACAGATTACGTATCGCTCTGAAATATTGTATCGATCCATACTTTACTGACTGACTTTTCTTTCTGTAAACCAATCACCTGTATACAGTATGCTGATTGAATGCCCTTTTGACATCGAATTAAGAAAAACAATAAACAAGCTTTATTTACAGCCAAACTTTTCTTACCTACTGGCAAGTTTCGTTTATAAATCTTGATGATTATTAATGAACTGTGAAAGATTTTGTCCTTCACCAGTCATCCTTACAGTAATAAACTTTATCAGTAAGTTGCTTTTTCATCGTACTTTTTTATTATCGAGTTTCAAGCTACATAATCAAAGTATCAGCTAACAGAAAGATACACAGTTCCTTGTATTGATTTGAAATGAAATGCGAGATAGATCCACCTTTCTTCTCTATCAACAGTTACAGTTATTATTTTGCTGAAGCCTTTCGGGACTGGATCTCATCAAATCTATTTGAGAATTTATTAGAATAAGTCTGTCTACAAGCTGAGATGGATGGATAATGGCTAGCAGTAAAATCCAGAATGGGCATTCCGTCCTAGTTTGGACTCGTCAGCTGCATGTACCTGCATCCCAGAGTTTATGTTCACCCTGGGACTCTAATCAATTACCATCCTCTTCAAACGCCATCGTGTTATCCACTTAGTTGCTTTGTCTAGATAACCACTGGCTTGTACAGTAGGGTAAAGTTTAATTAATTTGTATTAGTTACTTGAATCTTCCCATTGATGTTTAGGACTGCAATTGATCATTTTCTTTTGGCATATGTACATTTTGTGCGAATTCAGTGGGAATATTGAGGTATTCCTCACATGATAAGCATATTCAATAAAGAGATTGACCAATTGCAATCCTAAGCGCCAATAGGAAAATTCAAACAATCAATACAAAATGAGTTTATCCATCAGCTTGTTTTTTTTTCTTTTATAATTTCATTGAACTTCTTTCAACTTTACTCCGATTTTATCCATCGTTATAATTCTCTAAATTTTTCGTCATTCTTAATTTAGTCACCCATCTTCTTATTATTTTCTGGTATAACAGAAGTCCCAGTACAAATATCAAACCAGTTAAATATTCCTCAGAAATAGCATTTTTATTTAGATATGATTACATAATTGTAACACAGAAACTCCCTTACTTGACTCTTCACATATTTTCCTTTCCAGCCGTGGAAATAAAATGCACTGCATTTAATTTCAGCGATATATGTTTTTTCATAAATCAATTCAGTAGTATAATACATAAATTCATCTGTATACTACAGAATTGTTTACAGAATATGTTCAAATGTGTTCACCTTGTATTCATCCTGAACATTTATGGGATTATTTTATTATAGATTGAGTTCATCACCAATATCGTTTTTTTTCCTGGAGAAAATATTGTGACAACCTAGTTTCATACTCTGTTGGTTTAGTGCATTCAGTTTCTTGTATAAATTTGAATCAAAATAACTAGAAAGTTCTAAAAAAAACTGTAATGAATGTGTGTTTTGCTTTCAACACCTTCCCCTTAACCTGAAAATTTCAAACAGTTCGTGTTTTATCTTATATATATATACGAGTATGGAGTTATTTTGTGTAAAACATTTGAATCGGTACCAAACTGCTCTCCGTTACTTCTCAATTTTCATTCATTCTCTATATGATATTAATCCGTGATGAATACTGCCTTTAAATTACATAAAACGTCTAACAATCGGTCATAATCAATTTAGATTCACCCATTATGTACTTTCTTAGTCCTTGATTAACCCAACTGTTCAAAATGAAAACAGATATTGTCTGTTAAGATATGTTTTTTTCAAGCCTGCTAAGATACCCACAATTTATGGATATTCGTAGGCGGTTAGACTGACTTAAATAAGAATGTATAAGCAGTGCCCGAGGCTAGTTAAATAAGATTGCCTAGATTAGTTGTTCCTCTGGTTGTTAGAAGGGGAATCGGCCCCCAAATGCCCTGGTACGACCGAGAGTGAGGAGAGTCCGCTCTCCCTCTCGAAATGCTCTCATATGGCCACGCGTATATAGCCCCTGCCAGGGAAGTCCTACTCACTGCCGTCTCGTGGCGAGGGTGTTGTTTACGAAAATGAGAGGACGAAAAGCGAATTTCCGGCGCTTTAACCGGATTCCAAACCAGTGGTGCACATGAGCTCCATTATCCTGCGGGAATAAATAGCGTATGAACCAGTCGTTGGTCACCGGCTTCCATGGGACTGCATCTCGTCACGATGCTCCACTGCCTTGTGGATCAGACCTTCAGGTCGAAGGCTCGGGGAGTGGCCCCCTAAGAAAACCATCTGCTTCGCTCTGGGCACCCGGGCAGTATCACAGCCCTCACACATATCGAATGAGATTTATGTGGCGCATATGTATTTGGTGCCTCCTTGTACCAATATCTATGTGTTAAAATAAATAAATAATAATCGGCCTCGTGACTTCCGAAGAATCTCGGTTTTCACCATGAGGCGTCATAGTTCTCCCTTTAACTTCCAGGGCAGAGTTTGAGTGTTTTGATTTGCTTATTCTGCTTAGCGTCTTTTTGGCGAGATTGTTTTCTACGGGATGGGGATACCGACCCCACGCCCAGCCCTCCTCTTTTACCTGATCTTGGTACTGGCAGTAGCCCTAGAAGAGCTTACAGGTGGAGGCTAGTTGCTTGTCTTTATCCACATAGTTAAACAGAATCTACTGTAAACAGGAATCGATTTTCTGTTAGTTAATATACTACTGAATACATTCTTCATTTTGAATAGAATGTAAAACATACACGAAATTTTGTTCAGTACAAACACTATCATTATTGGTTTGTTGAGTTGCATTTTCTTTAAATTTTTTTCATCGCTTTACATTATAGCAAAATGTATCGATAATGAAACTGTTCGTGTGAGAAAAACACATCCAAAAACTGTAATCAGTAAATTATTCAGGTTAGTATTATTGTCTTGATTTAATGAAACTATTATCTACAATTTGATGTCCGCCTCTAGTATATATATACGCTAAATAATGAAGTGATCTTTTACAATTGTTATTGACTTTACTGTTCGGTTATATTTAGTCCATTGAAAACTTTGATTTGTTGTTTTCACTAAACTTTATGGTTATGAATAATGAATTTAATTCTCCTAAAGAAAATCACTTTAAAGTTTATTTACCTAACTCACTTATAAGTAGTATGTGAAACTGCATGCATCCGTATAAGTGGCCACAACACTCAACTTTTATTCATCATTTCGCATATCTGAACGCCACTAAACTTATTTTGGTACTTTTAGCAATTTCCAGGCTTCCAAAGTCTTTTGAGGAATTATCAAGGGCTTTATATGACAGACTGACTTAGGCTAGATACCCACTAAAAATCTAAGTCAGTCCGTGATGGGAACCTTCAAGTTCAGTAATGTTCACGACACCCTATAATTGCGAATTATAACTTTTTTGGAGAGAGGTAGAAATTATTTTGAGTATTTCCATAGGTACTCAAGATTGTTTGTCACTGACTGAGGTATCAGCCAGAAACTTACTAGAATTCAATGGGTACTAATCATCTTTCTTGTTCTAATTTAGAACTTTCCATACCAATGCACTTTTATGGCTACATACACAAACACGTCAACTCATCATAAGAATTCCCTTTCAAATCTTCAACAGAACTTAGAATTATCAACATAAATCTTCTGCGATGATGGATAATAGTTTTAGCTGAGGTATAGGACTTTAAAAGTGTTGTGATCTCTGAGATCAGAGAGATTTTTGTTTTCTGGTAAAATCATCTACTCGGCTGCATGCATTTTCGAAATTTAATTGATATGCTTTTTCAAAATGAAAGCCAAAAAATTGCTAGCATTTCAAACAAAACAAACATTTTCTATCGTATAATTTTCAAGCTATGCATTGTGGAGACGCGCTGCAGTAATCTCGCTGCCCAAAAATTTAAAGGGACTCGTCAACTGTCCATCTCGCTTAGAATGGGTGCCCCAACAACTTCACGAGAACATTTTTTACAAATAAACCCACTGTCAAAAACCAACTTCATAAGCCAAGAAGTAGATCATCCTACCATATGTGGAAAAATATCTCAAGAGTCATTACAATGATTCTGAAATACTTTTCGTCCAACGTCTCTCACAAATCAACACAACCATTTCTTTTCATTAGATACAGATCACGAAAAGGTAAATCTGATGTCATCTATCAAGTAAATTGCACCAATTGCCAGAAGTAATACATTGGACGAAGTGGAGGTTCCTTTGACCTATTCACACATGAACATAGATTAGCACTGAGGTTATATAATATGTTTCACTAATAACATTGCATTCTAGTAACCATGGGCATGAATTCGACTGGTTAAACGCCGCAATTTTGGGCCAAGGAAACTCCAAGAATGCCAAAACAGTTCCTAGAATTATGGTATCAAAATCGATTGGCAACCAACAAGTATATCAACGTAAACCTAATATATGAATATACAAAAGAGACCAATCAATCACAAGGTCAGAGGTCATCCGAGAAAGATAGTCAATGTCAGTCCAAGGAAGAATGAACGAAATCTACAAAGAGAGCCAATCACAAGCAACATCATTGAAGCGGATTGATATGGTACATATGAAATAACCGAAATCTAACTTCTATATAAAGTAAACCCTGAAAACCTCTAGAATGACAATCAATCTCTATAATTAAGCCACCTAACTTAGAGAACATAATATTAAAAGAGAGTGAAACTATCCCAACAGATACACCAGGCGAGAATTGCGTTACATCACTTACACTGAGATGAACCCACTCAATTTCAGTCTCCATGACTTCATATTATTTCTCTTACAGTGAATGTAACTTGAAAATGGTTAGTTTGATCTTACTGGATTCTGTAAATGAACATTATTTTAGGAGTGTTAAACTGTCAGAAATTAATTATGTTCATTGGCTTTTCAATTTTGAATAATTCTCCAACTTGATTTCAAGTCACAATGTCAATTCACTCAGTCAGTAACAACGTAGAACTTCGTACGTACGTACATCAGTTCGAGTTGCCACACCACATTAGCACAGAGATGCAGTTGTCGATTCAAATCCCATAGTGGTAGAGGCAATAAGAGTATAAGCAGTAATCGGGAAGATTAGGGTTTGGAGATGTTATTTAAAGAGTATAATCCAGTGAAATAAATTTGGAAAGAGGAAAAAAAGGGACATGAAGAATTCAGAAGATGTCAGTTACTGTCAACCTATACAAAATCTTTACAAAACTAATTTGAACAATAAAACATTCTTTTATTGATCTTTTTTTCTTTAATTTTCTTATTTTAGTCTAGTTAAAACAACTACTCATCGACGTACTATTGGTGATCAGAATACAATATCAGATTTCGAAAATAATACAGAATCTCAATTACCTACAGATGATAACGTTCAAACAATTTTATCTAGTGAAAATGTTAATGATATTGAAAAAAGAAATAATTGTTTAATCAATTTGCCAAATAATACAAATACACTTTCAACCATGCAAAATAATTTATATGTAGAAAGTTCAGCAAAGAATTTGCTTAAACCTCAATCGGATCAGTCAATTGACTTACAACTTTGTGCAAACAACAAAATTACTAATCCTATCGAAAAATCATCACGTTCATCTTGTTATGCAACACTTCATGAAAGGTAGTTGGTTTTCTTTTCTTTTTTTAACATCATATCTTAAATGATTATTATTATTTAAAACAATTAGCCCCTTTGATAAATTTCGATAATGCAATGAGAAGACGTAGTTTATCAGAATTATGTGATATACATTTCGAACAATCTGATCACAGATATACTTGTTAAGAACATTTATATATGAAAAATTAAAAGGTCAACTAGACAGGTTAAGGGTAAGTCATAACAAAGGAAAAATATTAAAGTACACAAAAACAAATATGATTACCACTCTGGACAATAAATCAGTATTACCAAGGTATGTTAAGTGTAAGGACAAATTGTTTTTGAACACATAAAGGGGGTTTCAATTTCCGTATAGCCAAGGCTTCAATAAACCTTAGTATACGTCCTTGAAGCCTTTTGTACAACACAACAAATGCTGATTTGATATCAACCTTCTGACCCGTCTCAATCAAATGTTATTATTATATTTTAATTCTTTCATTTATAAGTGAATAAATAATAACAAAACGATTGATGGTTATAATTTATATCAAACTGCTAGATAGTTTGAAATGAAATCCAAAACAGAATAAGGTGTTTAATTAGTTTTTTTTAGAAGTCATTCGAAACCCTCAATCAACATTGATCAACAATATAAGCAGAGATGGGTGGTAACTAGTAGTGGAATCTAGGACGCGCTATTCATCCTGTTTGATACTCGTTATGTGAATGTAATTATATCTCAGAGTTAATGTTCACTCGATCAAAACGAACGGTACTGGGTCCGAGTCTCAGATAGGACGAAACGCCCTTCCTGGATTCCAATGCAAGGCAATCTTTATTTTAGATTGTAATGATTTGTGTGATAATTGTAATGCTACCCATGTGTCGGTTTTCCTAAAACAATGATAAATTATATTCGATGTAGATTCATACTGTGGAATGCAGGATGCATATTTCGCTTCATTTGGAACTGATCTCCTAGGCGTGCACCTATATTTCAGTGTTATTATTTTCATGTTGGAACTCGAAACCAATGTCCATCACTTCAAACCCTAAACACATTATCCACTAAGCTACAGAGTTAAGATAATGAGTAATTTGTCTAATGGATCTGAAGTTATTAGTAATAGTTTGTAATTCCCCGTTATCTGTGTATCCTTAGCAAAACACACTGATATAGCTTTTCAGTTACAAGGTATATATATAAATATATTTAAAATATTCACTTTTAGACTTGAACCTCCAATCCATATCTATGATACTGCACATAATATTCAAATAAATAACACTAATGATCACAAATCTGATTTATCGAATCCAAGTAATGAACAAGTAAAATTACTAGATGCGAAATATCCCTCTTCTTTTGCACCTCAGTCTAATATTCAAACAACTACAGAAAATGTGGTTGTAAATCAACCTGAAGATACCAGTTTAACACAATTACAAACAACAAAGTATGCTGATTTATCGTTTTTACCAAATTCAACTTTAAATAGTCCGTTATCATGTATGCCATTATTATTGACAGATACCACAAGTCAGTCACTCCACAAACCCCTTCTGATAATTAAAGAGTTAACAAGTCAACAACAGCAACAGTCACAACATCGTTCTATCTCTTCTTCTAACCAACATCATCTCACTAGTTTATCTAAAAGTGCTGTGAATCGTCTGTATGATATTGAAATCAGCTCATGTTCAACTGCTTATGAATCAGTTATGGAGGTAAGATTGATTTATCTCTAATTTAATATCCATAAAGTATATTCAGTATTCCGTCACAACATTTTATTCATTGTATGAATATGTTATTTTGGTAGATGTTTACGATGGAATTCAAGATGCGCTGGAATTTATTCCATTTGGAACTTTTTTAGCTGATATTTAGATCGAAACTTGATCCTGATACCCAATGCTTTAAAAATTGTGGCTTATCGTACTACAATTTTTAATTTAACTGTCGCAACTCACTTTATAGGTTTGTGTACTCAATGTTAAATCATTCCTTTTATTTGTAGAATAATGATACTATCCGGCCAACCGAGATAGAAATGGGTAATGTGTCTGGAATTTACACGGTGCTGACTAAATCTTAAATCATTTAACCACCAACTTGTCTATTTTGTTTTATCTGAAACTTTTTTAAACTGTTTACTTGAATAACAAAAGTGGAAGTTGATTTGAATTTGAATAGTAATTCCTGTTTTTACTCAATAGTTGAGAATATCTGGTTTAAAACAAGTAATATGTTGATAAAAATAAAGTGTTGAATATCTGTTTATTTGTCATTGTTGGGGAGATCCAGTAATGTACTAGTCTAATTTCAATCAATTCATAATATTGCGCGACCATCTTCCAGTGTCTTCAAAGGATACCTTCTTTACACCCGACACAGTTTAGCTCTACTGGTCACATTTAATCTGTTCAAATCTCACATCCTTAACATACAATTTAACTCGAATCCTAGACATTATAAATATCACATTTTTGACAGCCACCCAGATGTACACAAATACACATATATTATTTCACCGTTGACCTGATTGGTATGACAACACAATCAGATTTATACCAGAAGAGTTTTTTTGTGGATATTATAGTAATTTCAGTGGTTGAGATCATGAGTCAATTGAAGCTAGACCACCATGGAAAACCTGGAAGCACTGGACGGTTGTTTCGTCCTATTGTGACCAGTGAAGTTCAACCTGGTCTGTTGTGAGGTAGTAACTCACTGAAGACAATGGTGGATGTGTCGCTCAATTTCGTAGATTAGTTGAAGTTGGACATTAACACCGTTGGATGCCGACCAGCTCAGTGGTCAAGTGGTTAAGCGTTCGCGCGCAAGACCGATATGTCCTGTGTTCGAATTTCGCGAGGCGGACTCGTGGATGTGCACTGCTGAAGAGTCCAACAATAGGACGAAACGGCCGTTCAGTACTCCCAGGTTTCCCATGGTGATCTAGCTTCAATTGACTCATGATCTCAACAATCAGATTTGTTTTGATTGTACTAAATATTTTTCAATGTTTCTCTGTACTGATTTTATTTGGTTATTTATTTAAAGAAGCAATTTATACAAAACGTCAAAAATTCAATTTTCTACTAATTGAGATGTTAAAATAAATCATTATTTTATTAGTGCGAACACCCAATGCTCCATGTATTTGACATTATTTATGCAAAGACTCTAACTATGAATTTCTGTGGACTGTCTATAAACACGGCACTCTAAAAATATTTACACTTCACTCTTGGTCTAGTAATAAATAATCATATTAGCTCCTTGGTTCAGTAGAATTTTAATCAGGACGTACAACATATAAACTATTTTGCTCATCGATTTGTGTCAAGTGATCATATCAAAAAGTTGAACTCAGTGTTGTTTATTTTCAAATATTTTCATTTTAGTATACACCAACTTGTGATGATGTTACTTCCAAACAGAAAACAACCAGGTCAGTAGTTATATATATACTTCCTGTTTTTGTTATGCAGAGCCATTTTTATACATTTGTTATTCATAATCTTAGATTATAATATAGATTGACAGAGAAGATGAAAGTCATGAGTGGTGTTCGTGAATTAGTTTCTATTAAATCATGAGATTCAAGTTGTTAAACTAAGACAAACTTTTGAAGTCCTGCAATTGCAACTCTTGTACTAGTTGTCATCTGTCAGTATGGTTTATATTTTATCGTAAGGGGAGATTGATGCTGCACATGAAATTCAAACTGCCCACCACCCAATCACTTAAGTTGCCAGTGAGTGATGTAAACAGTGACTGATATACTTACAGTAGTTGATCACTGGGTTTCAACCTATGCGGCATATGTCTAATTCTCGAAGCTGATTAAATTCCATTTATCAAGTGTCAGTATGATCAGTAGTCTAAATAACTGGACTTTGTGTTCACTTGCTTGAACACTAGGTTTTCGGAGGCAATTTGAAGGAAGCTCTCAACTTCATATTAGTTGATATTCGTCATAAAAACATATATCTGAAACCTCGATGGTAACTGATGCATGTTTATCGGAAAGATAACAGTTCATTAAAAAATTCACAGTATGATGCATTCATTAAAACTAAAATTGTGTTATGTTGTTTGCTAGAAAATATAACTAAATTTGAAGCGCAAACTTTGATTTGTCATCCGAACATTAGTTATTTGTGTAAGCATTGCATAAGAACACTAATTGCAGACTATCCTGTAGTCAGAATGTAGAAATGGGTTTAATAGTTCCACTTTCATACTTAACCTTGATTTTAAATTTATATGGTAATCTATGAAATAATTCAATAGGTGATATTTAATGTCGAATACAAGACACCTAATTTTATAATTATTCCTAGTTAAATTACGCTAAGAATTTCTGTGAAATATGGCGAAAAATATTTCACAAAGAATGTTGAGATGACTTAGGAAAAGCGCGACGAAGCCTCCGGAGGCTCTAAGGGAACCAAAGCGATCCCATCCAACCAGAACTCGATGGAATTTTCTATAGTATAAATGTGGGATACAGTGTTTGAACAATTGTATAATTTTCTACTTGAGGATTGGCTGGATTATAGTAATCCTATAACCTATACTGAAAACTATAATCCTATTTTTCTGTACATTATTCACACTTACTCAACCGCTTTTCCTGTTTTTCCTGTCTTTTGAGTTTCGATGCGTCCGAGTGCTGATAGCCATCTACTATAATAACCGTAGTCAAGTAGAAGACATAATAAAGAATAATTTACACACTCGTTACAAATGAACTCACATATACTTGCTAACTTAACCGCTATGTATTTCACAACTATTAAATAACAGATCATTTAGAATACTTTTGAAATAATTGATTTTTCTGGTGTTTTCAAAATATAGACAATAATATTTCTACATTCTAAACTCATGAATAAAATTTTTTGGAACCATATCTATGGTCCGTACACTGAGAATTTTCCACTACTGGTGTGTTTAATCAGTAGGGATATGAAATGAACAAAGATTTGTTTAAAATACGATCAATTATCACTTCGTAAAAAAAAATAAAACAAATTCACATGAAGTAACTTCATGATCAAGTAAATTTCGACTATTTGATCGAATTACAATGAAATATGTTTTCATTTTTCATTTCTAGAGAATTGGTAAATATGAAAGATTTTTAATCATTATAGTTAAAATGACTACGACAGACAAGAAACTTTATTCTACTAAGCATGAATAAATATTTGAGTTTTTTTTCTCACTTCCACTATCCACCAGAAGAGATAGTACACAAATATATACATTCCATTTGCAAATTTGTGAATCTTTTAAATTATCTTCAACCCAAGGAAAACCGTGTTTACTCTTTGCGTAACCAGAATGCATATATCTAAATAGTTTATATCAGTTCAACCTTACGTATTAAGTTAATTAAGTTGAAGGAGTTTTATGGAAATTGGTTTAGCTTGTAAGTTTTATTCGTCACATTGACTGGGGTTGAAATTGTAACACTGAATGCCGTCACAGTAACTCTAATGTTTAGGTCTTTGCCACAAGACCTGAACACCCTAAGTTCGACCCCCGGGGGCCTAACCCCAGAGATCTTTAAGGATGTTGGTCCAGTCTTAACGGTTAAGTTGACCGAGATATTAGCTTAAGTCTGGAAACCGAATGTAATTTCATCTGGCTGGTATTGATCGCTGATCGTCCAAGTCTATAAGAAGGGAGGAAATCCCTCCTGTGATAGCCTCAGAGAATATTCAATCTTCACCAAGTTTTAGAACATTCGCATACTTACCCACGTTCGACCACGATGGTATTTTAACGGCAGATCCGGTACGGCCGAGAGTAGGGAGAGTCAGCTCTCCCTCTCTAAATGCTCTCACATGGCCATGAGCATATAGCCACTGTCAGAGAAGCCCTACTCACTGCCTTCTTGCGGCGGGGGCGTTGTTTACAACATTGGGAGGACGAAAAGCGAATGTACGACGTTTTAACAGGGTTGGTGGCTATGGAGGATCCACCTAGGGGAGTGGAAAAACCCTTATTCCAAACCAATGGTGCACATGGGCTCCAATATCCTGAAGGAACAAATGGCGTATAGACCAATTACTGGTCACTGGCTACCATAAAACTGCATCTCCTGACGTTGCTCTACTGCCTTGTGGATCAAACCTTTAGGTCGAAGGCTCCGGGTGTGGTCCTCTAGGAAAATCATCTGCTTCGGTCTGAGCACCCGGGCAAGTACCCAGCCCACATACAAATCAAGTGACTTGTGTGGCGCATATGTATTCGGTGCCCCTTTGTACCAATATTTATGTGTTCATACAAATAAATAAATAATAAAAATACATATAGAGGTTCTGTTGTGATGTTTACCACTAAAAAGCGTGCTGGGTGGTTACCAGCCTATCTTATAGTTAAAATTTACATTTATCAAACAAATGGCCTATGTATTGCACAATAGGCCACCTTGTATTACTTTATGGTTATGAAGGGAAACGAAAAAAGGAAGTCCGAAGAAGACACTACGTCAGGAAATGAAAGCAGATATGAAAAGGATGAATAGCAACTGAAAAGTATTGCCCAGGACAAAGTTGGATGAAGAGTGCTGTCGGGCGGCTTGTGCTGCTCAGCGAGCGGTAACAGTCGTTTGAAAATAAAAGACACGTGTAGGCTGAAGGCTTTTGACCACAAATGTCTTCGAAGCCTTGATCGCGTTTTATGGAACAACCGAGTGAGTAATATTAAGGCTAGGTACACATGGTACCTGACAAATCAATCTGTGAGGTAGTAAGCTTTCATCAACTGAGGTACGTAAGATATTTGTAACATACGGTTAACTATTGCCTGCCTCAACGAGCAATTCTTGGCCGTACAGAATCCGGTTGGAAGAAAGTTGTGGGCGGCCAAATAGAAACATGCCACAAGTATTAGCCATGTAACCAAGTCCAGACTACCTCATTGGGGTCCACATGATAACCATAACCACTGGTTAACGAATTTTTGTCGCATAGTTCATTATTGTTCAAAACTGACCAGATGCATTCTCTCTTTATCTTTCTCTCAATATTAAATTCAATTATGTTTTCATGCATACCTTCCCACTCTGTCTTCTTACGCCATGTTCTCAAGGTTCATTACGACTACATTATTTTGATCGTTTTTCCACTTAGTCTTGCTAATCAAGTACGGCAACTTAGGTCAATACACTTCTGTTCTAAGTTCTAGGTTGATAATGTCTGTCTGTTGATTTCCAATGGGAAATTGAAAATATTCATTACTAAGGAGGAATGCTATACAAAGTTGGATGAAGAGTGCTGGTGGGCGGCCTATGCTCCGCAGCGAGCGGTAAGTTTGAAAATAGAAGACATGTGTTAGGCTGAAGGCTTTTGACCACAAATATAAAACAACTGTTCAGTGCTCCTCGGTTTTCAATAGTACCCTATTTGAGAACAATTCGTAACAAATGCAGTCTATTATTTTCAACTATTTAATTTAACCTCTATTATTGAATTTTTATTTTTATTCATTTTAGAGAAGTTTACGAAGATGCTGAAGTATTATATCGACACTTATCTGATTTGAAACAATCAAACAATTCTGATATACAAACAACAGTAATAGATTCATCTCATTATCATTAATAAATTTCTTTTTTACAATCTTCATATACATACAGTTTGTACACAAATTATTAGTTCTCTGAATCAAAAATATTATCTGTGTATGTGTATTGTCACAAAAACAATATACCTTATAAAATTCTATATTCAAACATCACTTCCTAATTCTTTCTACATTCAACTATCTATACATTTATTGACACTACTCTCGTTAGTACTGCGATTACTGTCTATTATTATTATTATCGTGATAATTAACACATATTCTTAATCATTATTCAAGAGACAAAAATATAAGATTCTGTGATGATGGCGAATACTTAATAAGCATAACGCAATTCAACTTAATGCTTATATGTTAAATGTGATGATAATCGTTTTTATGCATTTATTTTGTGGAACATAATGGGATTTATACAGAATAGAAATAATAATGCTACAAAAAAAGATTAAGATAGGCAGGGTTCGGTAATCAATGTGGATTCATGTGTTATATGCATTTCATACATTTTTTGTGCCGTTATTCTATTATCATTATTTTTCTTTTATTATTACTAACTTCATCACTAAAAATATTTTAGCATTTATTATCTTAATTATAATGATAATGACGATCACTATCATTTATTAAGAAAGAATATTCTTTCAACTGTTTTTGTTTCTATGCACACCTCCTACAAACGAACCAACCACCAAGACACGTGACTGTCTACAATGGTCGGGTAGATTTGTTTTCCTTTTTCTCTTTTGATAGTTGTATTTTCACGGCTAAAAGTGCAACTTTGATAATGATAATAATAATAATAAAGATTAGAACAATGAATAACCTTGTCTCGTAAAAAGAAATTGACGTATTATTTGTGAAAAATTCTCTAAAACATTTTTTTCCAATGTGAATAAGAGGATGATTGATGATAGCGATATGTTATGTTTGTATCAGAAAGTGCTGTGATTCTTTTAACTTAAAATTACATTTAACATTATTATCATTTTTCGTATCTTCCGTTGACGTGATCAGAATTACACAAAAGCCAACTGTAAACTATTAATATACCATTATAACTCGCATTTCACTCTCCATTATACTTCATGAAATGTTTGTAATTCTATATCTCTTCGTTTTTTGTTTTGTTTTCAATAAGATGGTAACCTTGCATTTATTTCACAACTGTGTTCTTTTATAATCAGCATTTACTCTGACATATATTTAACAACGATGATCTTATTCATACATGACTTCGTTTACAGTTTTTTTTTGTGTTACTTTACAATTTACAAACCCAAAAACTACTTGAAACTCATAGATTAAAAATAAAGCATTTGATAATTTTTTTATTTGTCTATTTATATTTTACTGGTAATATAGTATCTAAATCAATGTGAAATTTGGATACTGTGTATTTTTGACCTGTATTTCCAAAAGAATTCTTCGATTTACATTCCAATGGTAACTTAATTGCCAAGGATTTTTATACTGTACTTCAAATTACGCTTGTGATTACGAACGGCCACATTGTTCAAGTGCTTAGGTCTGGTTGACTGTGTTAATCTTTATTTCCTTATATCCACCAAGGTAAGTTTGTTAAAATGTTCTCAATTGGAATGGAATATCGGCTTCTTAAACACAAAAGGGATGTCGCGAAACTAAATTAACTACATGCACAACAAAATTTAGCATAATTGTTGTCTCAGTTGTTTGAAATGAAATGTACTCATTATCAAAGATACACCATATCTCTCAGCACACTTCGACAATTTCTAGCTTCATTGAGATGCCAATTTTCATAAAATATTTAAACACGGCAGCTTTTCTGAAACGCACTTTAACGAAAAAAGTCAAGTAGAGAGTAGACTGCATTTTCACATGCGCAGTCCTGAGCCATACATATGTGGACTGGTGTCACTACCTATGAAAGCCCACTAACCATGGCAATTCATTTGTGGAACAAAGGGAAGCTTATGGAATAAGTGATTAAGATTTTATAGGTTCATTCACAGACCGACAGTTGTAAACCATGAAGAACTAGTAACAACTCATACAGCTAAATATCGATAAAAAAAACAATAAAGTTTGTCCAGTTAAGGTAAAATAAGAGGTAAACGTATCACAATCGATATGGCTATGGGGAACAAACTGTTGATCGTGAGCAACCGAAACCACTAGGTAAGCCAATTTCAGTTTTTATCATCAGTGAAAAGCGAGTTCGTAGTGCCCAAGATTCTTGTTAAAATGGATACTCCGGCAGAGAATTCACTTCTGACCATCTAAAAAATGTCAGCTGAAATAATGAATTGAGGGAAATGAGTATTCCATAATGAAACTACAGGTACACTTGTGTTTACACTCTAAATTGCTTTAAGTTACATTCATGACCCGTTATTAGGAAGAGTAGAAAAATTTTTTAAATGGCTTCAACTAAAATTCAGAAACGTCTAGTTAATACACCAGTCATTATTGCTTCGTTTTAATAAGATGATGTTTCGCTACACAAACAAGTGTGAATTCATTTGACAAAATCAATCATTTGAAAATATCTATTTTCATTCGATGAATATAATTGTACTCAAGTAATCAACATTTAACCTTGAACTAAACAACTTACAAAAACAAAGCTCAGTCAGTCAGTCAGCTACAACGTAGGACCAGGCACATATGTGCATCGGTCCAGGTTGCCATACCTCATTAGCACAGCAAGATGAACAGCGGATTCATAGGAGTGGTTAGGTCAAAGGTTGCAATAAGGATATAGTATAGGAAGAAAGAATTAGTTCGTAGACAGAAAGAATGAAGTGATTTTAGTCTCTTAGTTTAAGGGAAGACAGGGAGTTTATACACCGACGCCATTGTGATCGATTCTGAGCCATGTCACCAAGAGTCTCCAACCATTGGTTACGAAAGTCACGCGGACCCGTTGTTGCTACCTTGACGTGGTGGTCGGGCTTGCCTATCGTGATGAAGCAACCGAGCTATACTGACTGGAACAACCGTTCCTCAAGGTCCTACCATGTCAGACAGGTCGGTTGAAGAGCGGTAAGACTAAAAGCAACAAACCCAAGGTCCGAAGGCGAAGTCGTACTGCTGACTGTACAGAGGTGTGACAGCAGTAAGGTGTTTCCTTCAGACAACCAGCATGACAGCGATGCTGCCTTCCCACAAGGAGGGGTGGGGTTAGAAAAGGTCGACCCTAAAAATGCACACCTCGCCTTATCCCACGGATATCCGTCTCCGGCGGTAAGGTCCCAATAAGTACGGAGCTAACACAAAAATTACCCATAAAAAGGTCGCGTGTGACCGACCTCAAGCAGTTGTCCCTTGGGCACTGCGGTCACGCTCTCAGGTCACTAAGACCACCTTTAATCCAAATTCCTTTTCAGGTACCTCCAGAACAACCCTTCCACGGTGTGGGCAACCGGGAAGTGAAAACCGCCCTCATACCTCTAACAGCAAAAACAAAGCTGCTAACTATCATATACATTAAATTATGAATTCTTTCAAAATAGGATTCTACTTTTACCTATGATAAGGGAAAAAAAGGTCGACCTACTTATTTCATTCATTTATAAATATCATAATGCACAGTAGAAAATAATAATCGAATAGTGAATAACAAGGTCCCCAACCCATCTATTCCTACTCGAACTATTGTCAAACAAACAAAAAAATTCTTTTTTCCGTTTTTAAATACTCTTTAAAAGAAAGAATTTCAACATAATTATAAGTAATATGATCGACGATGACAGTAAAACTTTGAATGACAAAAAAGAAGTTCGCGTATATATATATATATATATATATATATATATATATATATATATATATATAAAGAAAAGGGGAAGAAGAACATACGTTAGTTTAGAAAAATAATATCCACAACAGGGTGTTTTTACTTAGATAAGCAAAATAAACAAAGAATCGATCGTGCAGAACAAAAAGAAAAGTGCACCAATTTAAAGTTGGGTGAATAGATAGAATAGTCTCTTGTTTACTTAAATTTGCTTCGTTTGTCTGTCTATGGGTAAGCAATACTTAGTATTCGAAAGGAAAAAAATAAGAGAAAATTACACTTTTGTACAAACCAACGAATAATCAACTTGGAGAACGAACAAAATGAATAAATAAATGTGTATACATAGACAGAAATAATACATTCACATTACTACTGTTTAACATACGCTGTCTAACACATCATCATTCTGAGTTTGTATTATTAGTATTACAAACATTAATGGTAATAGTATTAGTACACGTACACAGAATATCGACTCAACTGAAATACAAAAAAACAACAAAAAGAAATAGAATACTAACTAAGAAGCCAGAGAAACGGATAACCAAAAGAGAGAAGGGCAAATTAGTAAAAAAAATCTATGGGAAACAAAAAAGATTCAATAAAATTCTCTTTGCTGCTAATTCAGTAGAAATATATCTAATTCATTCATTCATTATTCCTAGATCAAGTGTACATATATATGTATACGTATATATATTACACCGTTCTTTAAGTGTTCGCCATAATCTTCAATCATATCATTATTTTTAAGTATAGCGTAAATGCTAGCTAAAATGACAATTAACTTCAATATACTGACGAAGAATCATCTAAAAACTTATATACTAAACATTAAAACAAGAGATACGAATAGTAATATATATACTACTACTATTGTTTATTACATTTTTTTCATCAGTAGTGAATCTTTCTCGTTTACATCTATTCCGTCGGAGAAACCAAAGTAGAACACAGACATTTTAAAAACAAAACATATGTAATGAACAGATAAGGATGGGGTCGATGGCGGTTGTGTGCGTGTGCATGTGTGTGTGTTTAGTTACCAGCCGTGAAGATTATTAATTAATAGTAATAATATAATACAATAAAAGAAGTGAATGAGATCGATTAGGTGTGTTCTGATTTAGTTGTTTTCTTTCAAAAAAATTTTTCTCAGCTCACTGATGTACATGGAAGTGTAGGTGAACCCATTTGTCGAAGTACACGATCAAGCCATTTTAATGGTCCATTTAAATGTACTTCTATCCAACATGGTGTGCTGGTTATTGTTTGTCTTCTAAATTAAATAAAAATGTTTTTTTGTTAACGTAAAAAAATATTAATCATTGATAAGAAAAAGGTGGGAACCTGATGAGAAATTATTGAAAAGAATATTTTTCGTTCATATATTTGTGTCTTAATATAATGGGAATTTTTCAGCGATTAAAAGGTGGGGATATAATTTTTGGATAAACCAATCAGAATTAAAGCATCAACTATTCTATTTTAGACGGGTTTTGTGGATATTATAGTAATTTCAATGGTTAAGATCATGAGTCAGTTGAAGCGAGACCACCATGGAATTCATTTATCCATATGATTAACTGGCATTATAGCTTATGTCAATATTCATGATGAAAAGTTTAACTTTCATTCTTAACCTTAACTTCTAATTCCTAGTACTAATTCATAATCCTAATTCAACCTTTGCAATTGGTTGAAGTTTTCTCATGGTTACTTTAGTATAACTGAAAGTCTGTTCATAAATTATAGTTTAGTTGAAAAGAATTCACAATATAAACATGCTGAATGTATATTATTCTACCAAAAAGAAGAAAACTACGAAGTATTTATAAATGTCCTATGACAATATTATATTTATTTATTGTTTTTTTCCTTTGATGATATTTCAGATTGTTATATCCCGACGATAATAATGAATGGCAACTGTTGGGATCTATTTATGGACTAATATTATACATATATTCTTATTGTATAATTATTAAGTGACTAGATTATGTTTATTTATATTACACTTATTAATAAGCGTTATTTTGGCCTATACACCATTATGATACGATTTACTATTCATGAGTTATACCCAATTTATTCATTACAGTTTCCCACAATCATAGCCACTTTTCGGCTTGATCTTGTACAAATCTTATTTTCTACTTTATGATGTGATGTGATCTGCTTGGCTTGTATATAAACTAGGTATGTTTGAAATAAATGATTCATATAGTGGAAGCTGATATCGGCGTTCTGGACTAAACAGAAAGGTCAAGGCAGGAAAAAGGACCATTAAGGACGCTGGGCTACTTATACCGATCGATATTTCATTGTTTTGGTAGAGTGCTAAGATTGTATAAGTCGTATTCCGATTGGTGAATAAGTCACGTGATAATTAACCAGGCTAAAAGTCACAACACAGATCACAATTCATCCCAACAGTGATTGGCCAATAAAAATTCTAAATATTGATTTAAAAAAACAGAAAAGACAAAGAAGGAACCTTATGAACGCATCGTTGTTTGAAGAAACAGGGCGTTTTTGGTTTGAGTAACAGTGCAAGTATCAACACTCAAATGCTGATATATCTGACTGATGAATCTTGAATAGGAAACAAGGACGCGCGTTACCTCCTACATTTGAGACTCTTCAGCTAGATGGATATTCGTAAGTTACT